GCGCTGCAGCACCTGGCTGCTCACATTCGCCGCCCTCATCTGCCGCACCCACCGCGCCTGACTCTCCTCCCCCGCCGCCCCTGCCCCACTTGCATCTGCCCCGCCAGCTGTCGCTGAGTCAGCGGCTGGCTCGGCCGGGGCGGCGAACTGCTCGAGGAAGGCGGCGATTGGCTCGGGCTTGAGCGGGCCTTCGTAAAGCTGCCTGGTTCCGTCCGCCTGTTGTGAGGAGGTGGGAAGTGGAGGGTGGGGGGTTTGAGTTGACTGAGAGCGATGCTGATCAGCAGTGAGGTGGCACCATGGTTTGGTTCATTCAAAAGCGGGCCTTCGTAGAGCTGTCTGGTGCCGTCCGTCTGGTGTGAGGAAGGGAAAAAGTGGAGGGTGGGGGGTTTGAGTTGACTGAGAAAAATGAGGGTAATTCCCTCAGGTGGCACCGCCTTTGGTTGACTCAAGAAGCGGGTCATTCTAGAGCTGAATGTTGGCGTTCACCTGGTGGGGGGACGAGGGGGTGGGGACGAGGAGGGGGGTGGTGAGAGAAGTACGGGGGAGGAGAAGAAGAAGGAGCAGCAGAAAGGACGGGGGGAAGCCATCAATGAGGGTCATGGGGGACAGGGGCTGAAGGGAATGGATGGGGCGAGTGGGGCGAGGGTTTATAAATTGAGGGTTGAGCTGGAGAAAGCGAGGTGAGAGCAGGGGGGGACATGGTGAGGCAGAAGGGTGTAGTGCGGAAGGGAGAGATGGCATGCGGAGTAGTGCGGTGGAGTAAGCAGAGGGGTGTGAGGTGGGTGTGACATGGGTGTGAGGTGGGGTGCAGGGTACCTTGTGCAGGAAGAGCGCTGGGAAGGAGGCGGCGCCAAAGGATGCCGCCAGAGCCTCATCAGTCGACTTGGCCTGCGCAAACACCAGCCGCTTCCTGCCATGCCGCATGTGCCAAGCCACGCCATGCCATGCCACCACGTCACGCCATACCATGCCACACCACGCCACGCACCATGCCGTACAAGACACGAAAGTGGGAGAGCCCCAGGAAGGGCAGGGAGAACGATGGCGATGAGAGGTCAGCTCATGAGAAGGAGAGATGGATGGAAGGTGAGGTGGCAGTGTGGGGAGGTGGCAGTGCAAGGCAACAGCAGTGAAATAAAAGAGGTGAAGGTGCACCTGAATTGCAGCGAGAGAGCCTTGAAGAGTGGCGTGACGGCAGGCTTGGTGGAGAAGAGAACCACCTGGCGGGCAGGAAAGACGGCAGGCAGAGGAGATGGCGGGCAGGGGGGCCGACATTGGGGAGCAGGGGGACACGAAGCAGTTGTGGTGCTGGGCCCTGGTTGCAGAAGGTTTGTGCCTACCGCTGCTGCTATGGCACGTCTGATTCTACTAAAACGTGCACGTGGCTTTATTCTGTGAGTGCTGCTATGGGAGCAGTGCGGCAGAGGCAGTGGAGGTTTGAGACGTCTCAAAACTTGCGGCAGAGGCAGTGGAAGTGGAGTGAGAAGATGCAGGAGTGGAAGGGGAGGGCAGGAGACATACGAAAGGAGAGGGCGGGAGGGATAGCAGGGCGGGAGGGATAGCAGGGCGGGAGGAGTGGAACCTTGTTGAGGGTGGCGTTGGCAGCGAGGAAGGCGTCTGCAGAGGCGCCTGAGGAGATGTTGACCACCAGGTCGTGGGGGAGGGCGGCTGGTGGGAGGGCGGGGAGAGCACAACAATTCACATGGCAGGAAGTGCGGGACAGGATGGGAGAGGCAAGCGGGTGGGAAGGCGTCAGCAGAGGCGCCAGAGGAGATGTTGACCACCAGGTCATGTGGTAGGGCGGCTGGTGGAGGGCGGAGCGGACAGGATGGGATGGCAAGGGGGTTGGGGGGAGACGAGGAGAGGAGGATGGGGAGGTGGGAAGACTAAATCTCTGGAGGGCAATGGGGACGTTAAGTGGTGTGGCACGAATGAAGTTGACGGCATGAATACGCCGTGGGCGCGCCAATATGAGTTACGAATGGCTGTACGACTTGAGAGCGTAAGCAAGGTGCGAGGAGAGGCAGGGTATGAAGAGGGAAGGCACGGTGCGGGGAAAAGAATGCTCACCAGTGGCGAGGCTGACGAGCGCCTTGGCAGTGTTGTCTCCAGTGAACATCTGAGGCGCGTCCTTGTGTTGTGTGCTTCAAGTCAACTCAAATCACATGGGGAACGGGGATGCGAGGCAGGACAGGAGCTCACCAGTGGCGAAGCTGACGAGCGCCTTGGCGGTGTTGTCTCCAGTGAACACCTGAGGCGCGTCCTTGTAGCGCTTGCGCGTGTACGGGTTGGCCTTCACCTCCCATGGGTACAGCTGAAGGGGATACGAGGGAGAGAGGTATGCGCGTGAGAGGCGAGAGAGCGAGAGGAGAGGGGAGGTGCTGGTGCTGGTTGTGGGGAAGAGGAGGCAGTGGTGGTGCGAAGGCAAGACAGGACACGAGGCTGGACACGAGGCTGGACACGAGGCTGGACACGAGGCTGGACACGAGGCTGGACACGAGGCTGGACACGAGGCTGGACACGAGGCTGGACACGAGGCTGGACACGAGGCTGGACACGAGGCTGGACACGAGGCTGGACACGCTAGTCAAAGAGCCAAAGGCATCTGCCTCGGCAAATGTTACAGCGTGTGTAAGTAACGCATCCCCTCCAGCCCCAAACTCTCCCCCTGACTCCCCTCTCGATGTGGGTGAGTAAAGGCAGTGGCACTCACCCTAAATGCAGGCAGCTCCTGTTGTCACATGAGGGAGGAGAGGATGGGAGAGCAGAGAGGGGGGAAGAAGAGGTGACGGGAGGGAGGCATGCATGAACATAGCGGAACACAGGGAGAGAGACTGAAGCAAATAGGGGAGTGAGGTTAATGGAGGAAGAACGAGCAGAGAGCAGAGATGCATAGGAAGAAAGGAATGCTGGTGGAAGGAGGAACCATGGTTAGGCAGGCGCGTGGAATAAGATCAAGCCCTTATGCTTTGCACAGCAGCACAGAGCTGTGGATAGGAGGGTGGAAAGTGCAGCACGCACCTTGATCTGCGCCTGCATGCACACGTCCGGCGCTTTGTTGCAGTTGATGGCGCCCACCTGATAGGACTCAACGGAGAGGGATGCAGACACGCAGACACGCAGAATGCAGACCGGGTGAAAGAGGGGGAGCGAGGTGGGGGAAAGAGGAAGCGATTTGAATGGCAGGGGGGAAGAGAAAGGAAGGGGTAGAGGTATGTAGAGGGGAGGGAGAGGGGGTAAGAAAGAGGTGGACGACTAACCCTGGCATGTGTGTGTCACCAAAAGACTTCAATAGTGTGACTAAGAGACACCACCCCTGATGAGTCCCATGCCCTCTCATCAACCACACGTCCCCGCATGCCACCCCGTTCCCCCCAAAGCGCCCCACCTGCACTCCCACCCCCCCCACACATGTGCACCTTGACGAGCCCTTTGAGCGAGTCGGCGACCTTGGCGACCTCGGGCGCGAACTGCATGCATGGCTCGCACTTGTCCTGGTGGTACTCCACCTGGTGAAGAGGGGGGGGACAGACCAGTAAGGAAGGTGAAGGAGAGGGGAGAGAGTGGTAAGGGCGGTTAGGGGGAGCGAGCGAACTGCATGCACGGCTCGCACTTGTCCTGGTGAAACTCCACCTGGCGCCACGCACAAAAGGGGGGAGACGGGAGAGCGTGGTACGCGCGGGGGGCGAAAGGGACAACGGGAGGGGAGGAGAGGGTTACAGAGGCAATGGAGTCCCGAAAGCAACGATATCCCGGCATGGTGCAGCGAGTAAAAGAGAAGAGAATGAGGAGAAGCGAGGAGACGAGGGGCGAGGAGGGGCGAGGAAGGGTGAGGAGGGGTGAGGAGAGGTGAGGAGAGGCGATGGGAAGAGGGGCGTACGAGCCAGACGGCGGGTTGACCGAGCACTTGGGAGGCGAAACTCTCCGAGTCCAGCGATGCCACGTTGCTGCCGCACAGACGGGCGGAGGGGAGAGGGCGGGGAATGGGCACGGGGACAGTGCGGGGCGCATGGAGTTATATGGGGGGATATGAGGGCGGTATGGCAAGAATGAGCAGAGACGAGCGACGGAGAGGGATGGTGGCCAAGACAGCAACGAGCCAGAGTCGCATTCGCGCGTCGGGATTAGTCCGCTCATTTCAACAGATGCGCGCTTTTCAGCTGATACGCGCGTTTCAAGCGATGCGCGCATGCGATTGGGATGACGAGGCGGCGATTTACCCGTCCGGCGCGAACATGGCGGCGGCGAGAGCGACGAGGCGCAGCGCGACGGCGAACGCGGCGAGCAGCTTCGGCGACATGGAGATTCGACAACGAGCCGCCATGGTTGCGACCATGAGTGCGACAACTCACACGGCGACCGCGACTATCGCAATCGCGAACAGGTTAATGCGGTCGCAATGATCGATCAGCGACAAAGGCGAAAGCTGCGATGGCAGTAGCAGTCCAATCGGTGGGCGAACGTGATGAGGGCAAGCAGTGGTGACTGAAAGATGAATGCAGGCCGCGAGTGAGATGGATGCATTGACAGGATGGGGGAGTACGCTTGGCGGGAAACAATGGAATTTGCTTCTGGAATCAGTGAAGTCTGGAGCTTTGGGATTGCCTTGGCTTGGAGAAGCACCTTCTGGAAGCGCTGGGGGACCCGGTTTGACTCGGAGATTTGTACGCGTCATTGAGAATAAAACCAAAGCTTTTCTCAATCACCCTACAAAACCCGCGTCACAATACATTTCATCAACTGAATGTGAAACTCTTTTGCAATGTGACGTGGCCGCGAGACAGCCACGAAGCGTGGCATTCGTATAAGCACTAACCTCCTCCTGGTTCTGTGTCAGTTACTCAGCACTCTGTTCCATCGAGTTGAGAAAGAGCCTCACGAACGGCATGATCGCCTGCAGAACGCCACCCGCTTCACGCACCGCAACCGTGCCGCGCGCTGTGCACCACTGCTAGCCCCAGCAGCATCCTACCCGCCTCGCCTCCTCACTACTCCCCACCATGGCCGCGTGGAGCGCCGGCATTTCCGCCGACTTGCTCGGCGGCGCCCTCCTGCCTGCTGCGGATAATGGCGCCTCACGACCCCTCGGTATTGCCGATCGTCGCTCGCCTCCCAGTTGCCGACATAGTTTCTGCTCGTCGCCCCTTCCCAATTCCGCTCTGTTTTCACCCGGCGCGCGCGATTCCCCTGGCGTGTCCTGCCTCGTGTCGGTCCGCGCGCCACTATTGCGCGTCCGCGCGATCTCCGCGTCCGCCGCTTCCTCCAGCGATACGGACGGCCCAGATCTCTCCCCACGGCCGTCCCTCCCTGATTCGACGCCGCGCGCCGTTTTAGATTTCCCGCCGGCCGAGGGATTTGGGGAGGAGCTGACGAAGCTTCTGACGATGCTTCCAAGGAAGGTTCGCGACGTTCTGCAGCGACATCCGGCCGTCCATTCGCTGGTGGAGGTCGTTCTCGATCTCGGCCGTCGGCCCGTCGCACGGTTCCCCTTGGGCGACGTTTTTCTGTGCGAAGAGGTGGTAACCGCGGGCGACATCGAGTACTGCGTGTCGCAGGTAGCGCCCTCATTATCTCCCTCTCCGCCCGCTTCCGTTCCCCTCGCCATCTCTCTCACAGCATGCAAGCACCCCACCCCCCCTTGCATGCACGTCCCTTCCACGTCCCTCATTGTCTCCCTCTCCTCCTGCTTCCGTTCTCCTCCCTGCCTTCTTCCCTCGTCCCCTTCTCCCCCCCTTCCCTCTCCCCCCTTTCCCTCCGCGCAGGTCGGGGAGTTCGGCGCGGACAACCGCGCGGGGATAGACCGCACGCTGCACCGCATCAGCGCGATCCGCAACCGCGCGGGGAGGATCATCGGGCTGACGTGCCGCGTGGGGCGCGCGATTTCGGGCAGCGCGGAAATGGTGCGCGACCTGGTGGCGGGGGGGGAGTCCGTGCTGCTCATGGGCGCGCCGGGCGTGGGGAAGACCACCGCCATCAGGTAACGGGGGAGAGAAGATGGGGCAATGGGGATGGGCGTGAGGCAGAAGACCTCCGCTATTTGTGATAGAGAGGAGGGGATGAGAAGAGGGGGTGATGAGGATGGGCGGGGGAAGAGCACGGCCAGCAGGTATGGGAACCACTTTACTGCCTCAAGACATGCTACCTGCCCCTTGCCCCATGCCCCTCACTTCACACCCCATGCCCCTTCCTCCCTGCCTGCCTACCCATCTTGGTATCAAACAGAGAGGTGGCACACATACTGGCGGACGAGTGCATGAGGAGGGTGGTGGTGGTGAGTACTAGCACTGAGATCGCCCAACACCGTACGCCTTGTGTTCCATGCTCCATGCCCCATGGCCCCCATCCTTCATTCAAACAGGGAGGTGGCGCGTATATTGGCGGATGAGTGTGCAAGGCGAGTGGTGGTGGTAGATACGAGCAATGAGATCGCAGGCGATGGGGACATTGCCCATGCCGCCATTGGCTCTGCACGGCGCATGCAAGTGCCGCACGTGGAGCTGCAGCACCAGGTGGGCTGGGCGACAGCACCAGGTTGGGAATGTTGGGAGCACTGGGTGGGCAGCAGCACAGTAGGTGGGGGATACAAGCAATGAGCGCGTTGGGGACATCGCGCATGCCGCCATCGGCTCTGCACGGCGCATGCAAGTGCCGCACGTGGAGCTGCAGCACCAGGTGGGTGAGAGTGTGTGTGACAGCATGGGCAGTGGAGAACCTTGTTTGTGCCACATGCCCAGCAGTGGAGATCGCAGGCGATGGAGACATCGCCCATGCTGCCATCCGCTCTCGGTGCTGCAAGTGCCGCATGTGGAGCTGCAGCACCAGGTGGGCTGGGCGGTAGCACCAGGTGGACGGTGGACTGGGCGGCAGCATTAGATGGTTGAGGGGGTGGCACGTCAGCACCCAGGTGCGTGAGTGTGTGTGGCAGCAGGGCTGGTGGAGAACCAACCACGGGCCACGTGCTCTGCTCTTTTCTCTCTGCGACAACCCCCCTCACCCCTCACCTTTCCCCCGACCAACCCTCTCCTACACCAGGTGATGATAGAGGAGGTGGAGAATCACATGCCCCAGGTGGTGATGATCGCCAGATTGGGTCGGAGCTGGGATAGTGTGTGCAATGAATCACTTGTGCTGCCACATCCCTCCACCTTCCCCACCAACCCCCCCCCATGCACCCCTGCATCAGGTGGTGATAGAGGCGCTGCAGAACCACATGCCACAGGCGGTGATTTTTAATGATATCAGGACGCAGCTGGGATAGTGTGTGTGCAGTGAATCAGTTGTGTTGCCACATCCCTCCACCTTTTGCCTCCCACCCCACCCCCTCTTCCCCTGCACCCCGTTGCACCAGGTGATGATAGAGGCTGTGGAGAATCACATGCCCCAGGTGGTGATAATCGATGAGATTGGGTCGGAGCTGGAGGCGGCAGCAGCGGCCACGATAGCGCAGCGGGGCGTGCAGCTCATCGCCACGGCTCATGGTCGCTCGGTGGAGAATCTTGTCAAGAACCCACACCTGCACACACTCGCAGGGGGCGTGCAGGTATGAGAGGGGTATAGATGGGGCAGCAGAGAGGTGCAGGTGGGGCTGGAAGCGGCAGCAGCGTCCACCATTGCACAGCGCGGCGTGCAGCTCATGGCCACGGCGCATGGACTGGACGGACGTTCGGTGGAGAATCTTGTGAAGAACCCGCACCTGCACACACTCGCAGGGGGCGTGCAGGTGGGTGCAGAGGGGTGCAGGTGGGCTGAGAGGATTTTTAAGCACCTTGTTGTCAAAAACCGCACCTGCTCTCGCTGACAGGGGACGTGTGGTTGGGTGGAGAGGGGTGCAGGTAGGTAGTGCAACAGACGTCCTTCTCTCACTCCCTCACCCTCACTCCTCCCCTCTTTCTCCCACATACAGACAGTGACGCTGGGAGACGAGGAGGCGAGGAGGAGGGGCGTGCAGAAGAGTGTGATGGAGAGGGGAGGCCCGCCCGTGTTCCAAGCGGCAGTGGAGATGCACTCGCGTGGCCGCTGGACCGTGCACCGCAACTTGGCTGCCACTGTCGATGCTCTGCTGTCAGGTAATTCATCCTTCTAGAGACGTTTCAAAGGTTGTTCCAAGCAGCAGGTGAGATGCACTCCCGTGGCCACTGGACCGTGCACCGCTGCCTTGCCGCCACTGTCGATTCTCTGCTCTCAGGTGACCGATTGTTATTTGGGGGAAGGCGGAGTATGACTCTGATCACTGACTTGCTGGGAGGCTTTGGAGTGCGTACGGATTTGCACATCGTTCTCCACACCTCTCCACACCTCTCCACACCTCTCCACACCTCTCCACCCAACTTTCTTGTAATCCCTACTGCTCCTCTCATCCTTTCCCTCCCATTATGTGTCCTCGCCACTGCCCCTCCCCCATGGGGTGCCGCACAGGCAAGGCACCGCAGGTGGAGGTACGGGAGATGGGGCAGCACGGGGAGGTGTGGGTGGATGGCGATGCTGCCACTGCTGTTGGTAGCACCGGCAGAGGCAGCAGGGGCAGCAGCAATAGCGGCGGTGGTGGTATCCCTGGCGCCAGCAGCGGCAGCGCTGGCACTGGCTTGCCGCAAGTGGGCTCATGGAACGAGCAGGGGTGGCAGAGGCTAGGGGGTGAGGGAGCAATGGGTGTGATGGGTGTGAGGGAGTGGGATGCAGCACAGCCCAGGGGGGGCGGTGGCAGGCAAAGTGAAAGATTCAATGCCGTACGGCCCTCCCATGCACCATCGCCCTCAGCAGCGGGGAGAACAGCCGCCTCTCCTTTGGGCTTTGCCTCTGGCGGCGGCAGCAGCGGGGAGAGCAGCGGCAGTGACACAGACAGTGAGGGCAGCGATGTTGATGTTTATGGCGATGGTGGTGGTAGTGATACTGATGGTGGTGGTGAGCAGTGGGGGAGGTCTGCCATGTGGTGGGGTGGCATGGCCAGCAGATCCACCAGCACTGCTGCCGGCACGACTAGCAGCTCTGCATCCATCGCCGCATCATCATCATCTGCTGCAGCACCATCACCATCCTGGTCTCAAGGAGGCAGCATGCCTGCTGCCCTCTCGGCGTTCGCCCAGGCTACGCGCTCCGACAACTCAACGCTGCTCTTCCTCTACCAGGTGTGGGCCTGTTGTGTGTGCATCACCATCATCAGCATCATCAGCTTCAGCTTCAGCATCAGCATCAGCATCAGCATCAGCATCAGCATCAGCATCAGCATCAGCATCAGCAGCATCAGCATCAGCAGCATCAGCATCAGCATCAGCATCAGCATCAGCATCAGCATCAGCATCAGCATCAGCATCAGCATCAGCATCATCATCATCAGCATCAGCATCAGCATCAGCATCAGCATCAACATCAGCATCAGCATCAGCATCAGCATCGCATCAGCATCAGCATCAGCATCAGCATGCCGCTACTGACTGACCGCACTCCAACTGGCTGTTGTCTATGAGGCGCCTTAAGCGCCTTAACAACACACTCTACCTACGTGTCTCCATTTGCATAGGTATCAGAGGAGCACGTGGAGCAGGTGGTGGAGGTGATGGGGTTGGCGCCACTCATCACCCTCACCACGGACATTGCAGCAGCAGACGCCGTGCTGGCACTGCGCTCCAAGCTCAAGGGCAATGCGTGGCTGCGCGGGGTGGCCAAGTTTCGCCACCTCCCCATCTATGCTGTCAAGGTGGGCTTTAGTGAGGGGTGAGGCAGGGTCAAGAGGGGTGAAGCAAGATTGAGAGGTGCTGGCGCTGCGCTGCGTCCCAAGCTCAAGGGCAATGCGTGGCTGCAAGGGGTCGCCAGATTTCGCCACCTCCCCATCTATGCTGCCAAGGTGGGCTCGGGCGCTCAGCAGAGGGGTGAGGGAGGTTGGACAGGGGTGAGGGAGGTTGGACAGGGGTGAGGGAGGTTGGACAGGGGTGAGGGAGGTTTGACAGGGGTGAGGGAGGTTGGACAGGGGTGAGGGAGGTTTGACAGGGGTGAGGGAGGTTGGACAGGGGTGAGGGAGGTTTGACAGGGGTGAGGGAGGTTGGACAGGGGTGAGGGAGGTTTGACAGGGGTGAGGGAGGTTGGACAGGGGTGAGGGAGGTTTGACAGGGGTGAGGGAGGTTTGACAGGGGTGAGGGAGGTTTGACAGGGGTGAGGGAGGTTTGACAGGGGTGAGGGAGGTTGGACAGGGGTGAGGGAGGTTGGACAGGGGTGAGGGAGGTTTGACAGGGGTGAGGGAGGTTGGACAGGGGTGAGGGAGGTTTGACAGGGGTGAGGGAGGTTGGACAGGGGTGAGGGAGGTTTGACAGGGGTGAGGGAGGTTGGACAGGGGTGAGGGAGGTTTGACAGGGGTGAGGGAGGTTTGACAGGGGTGAGGGAGGTTGGACAGGGGTGAGGGAGGTTTGACAGGGGTGAGGGAGGTTTGACAGGGGTGAGGGAGGTTTGACAGGGGTGAGGGAGGTTTGACAGGGGTGAGGGAGGTTTGACAGGGGTGAGGGAGGTTTGACAGGGGTGAGGGAGGTTTGACAGGGGTGAGGGAGGTTCTACAGGGGTGAGGGAGGTTTGACAGGGGTGAGGGAGGTTTGACAGGGGTGAGGGAGGTTTGACAGGGGTGAGGGAGGTTGGACAGGGGTGAGGGAGGTTTGACAGGGGTGAGGGAGGTTGGACAGGGGTGAGGGAGGTTTGACAGGGGTGAGGGAGGTTTGACAGGGGTGAGGGAGGTTGGACAGGGGTGAGGGAGGTTTGACAGGGGTGAGGGAGGTTTGACAGGGGTGAGGGAGGTTGGACAGGGGTGAGGGAGGTTTGACAGGGGTGAGGGAGGTTTGACAGGGGTGAGGGAGGTTTGACAGGGGTGAGGGAGGTTTGACAGGGGTGAGGGAGGTTTGACAGGGGTGAGGGAGGTTTGACAGGGGTGAGGGAGGTTGGACAGGGGTGAGGGAGGTTTGACAGGGGTGAGGGAGGTTGGACAGGGGTGAGGGAGGTTTGACAGGGGTGAGGGAGGTTGGACAGGGGTGAGGGAGGTTTGACAGGGGTGAGGGAGGTTGGACAGGGGTGAGGGAGGTTTGACAGGGGTGAGGGAGGTTTGACAGGGGTGAGGGAGGTTGGACAGGGGTGAGGGAGGTTTGACAGGGGTGAGGGAGGTTGGACAGGGGTGAGGGAGGTTGGACAGGGGTGAGGGAGGTTTGACAGGGGTGAGGGAGGTTGGACAGGGGTGAGGGAGGTTTGACAGGGGTGAGGGAGGTTGGACAGGGGTGAGGGAGGTTTGACAGGGGTGAGGGAGGTTTGACAGGGGTGAGGGAGGTTGGACAGGGGTGAGGGAGGTTTGACAGGGGTGAGGGAGGTTTGACAGGGGTGAGGGAGGTTGGACAGGGGTGAGGGAGGTTTGACAGGGGTGAGGGAGGTTTGACAGGGGTGAGGGAGGTTTGACAGGGGTGAGGGAGGTTGGACAGGGGTGAGGGAGGTTTGACAGGGGTGAGGGAGGTTGGACAGGGGTGAGGGAGGTTTGACAGGGGTGAGGGAGGTTTGACAGGGGTGAGGGAGGTTTGACAGGGGTGAGGGAGGTTTGACAGGGGTGAGGGAGGTTGGACAGGGGTGAGGGAGGTTTGACAGGGGTGAGGGAGGTTGGACAGGGGTGAGGGAGGTTTGACAGGGGTGAGGGAGGTTGGACAGGGGTGAGGGAGGTTTGACAGGGGTGAGGGAGGTTGGACAGGGGTGAGGGAGGTTTGACAGGGGTGAGGGAGGTTTGACAGGGGTGAGGGAGGTTTGACAGGGGTGAGGGAGGTTGGACAGGGGTGAGGGAGGTTTGACAGGGGTGAGGGAGGTTGGACAGGGGTGAGGGAGGTTTGACAGGGGTGAGGGAGGTTTGACAGGGGTGAGGGAGGTTGGACAGGGGTGAGGGAGGTTTGACAGGGGTGAGGGAGGTTTGACAGGGGTGAGGGAGGTTTGACAGGGGTGAGGGAGGTTTGACTGGGGTGAGGGAGGTTTGACAGGGGTGAGGGAGGTTTGACAGGGGTGAGGGAGGTTGGACAGGGGTGAGGGAGGTTTGACAGGGGTGAGGGAGGTTTGACAGGGGTGAGGGAGGTTTGACAGGGGTGAGGGAGGTTTGACAGGGGTGAGGGAGGTTTGACAGGGGTGAGGGAGGTTTAAGAGGTGCCGCATGCCCATCTATACTGTCAAGGTGCCACCTGCCCATCCATGGAGATCGAGACATACTACGTCTTTCCAGCACACGTCATTAGAGACTCACTTTCCATAGCATTCGTCCGACCCTCTGTCCCTGCATATCATGTCTTCAGCCTGTTCCCACAATGCTGATCACTCGCCTCTCTCTCCTCACATGCTCACCGCGTCCCCCCCCTACACTGTGTGTCCCTTTCCAGGCAAACACGGCCTCTCACGTGGTGCGAGCCCTTCGTGCCATTCTCAACCTCCCCACCCTCGCCTCTCTCCCCTCCCTTGCTCAACGCCTCCAGCCCACGTGTACTAACCTTCTCGTCCCTTCACCCCCCCACCCCTGGTTCCCTCCCTCCCCAGGCCAACACAGCATCGCAGGTGGTGCGGGCTCTCCGTGCCATCCTCAACCTCCCCACCCTCGCCTCTCCTCCTCCCTCCTCCTCCTCCTCCTCCTCCTCCTCCTCCTCCTCCTCCTCCTCCTCCTCCTCCTCCTCCTCCTCCTCCTCCTCCTCCTCCTCCTCCTCCTCCTCCTCCTTCACCTCCTCCTCTGCCTCCTCGTTCTCCACCTCCCCGCCTGGCTCTTCCCTCGCTGCTTCTCTTTCTCGCGACACAGCCCTTCCCGCCCCTGCTGCTGTCCTAGCCACACCACCAGACCAACTTTCAACCATTCAAGATGAAAGCAGTAAGAGTGGCGATAACAGCAGCGGCAGTCGCAGCAGCAGCAGCAGCAGCAGCAGCAGCAGCAGCAGCAGCAGCAGCAGCAGCGGCAGTTGGGTGGATGGGGCTGGAGAGGATGAGGGGGCAACAAGAGGGGCTGGCGGAGGTTCATTGGAGGACGAAATTGATGCTCTTGAGGTGAGGGCCATGGGATGATGGCGCTGTTGACTGCAGTGAGTCAGAGGCATTCCGTCGTGCCCAGCAGCTACATCTCGTGTGCTCCAAACGATTACAGTACTTGGATGTGGTTCCCCCTCACAGTGAGGACAGTGAGAGCTCCCTTTCCTCCCTTGCTCCCCTCGCTCCCTTTCCCATCCCTGAGGAGGCTCCCATCCCATCCAATGGCGGCAGAGAAAGCGTGGCTGGTGCATGGGCCGGCCATTTGTTTCCTGCGGATCCCTTTGCTTTGTGACTCTTGCTAATCAGTTTTTCCGGCTTTCCCATCCTCCCCGCCTGTTCCATCCTGCCTGTCTGTTCTATCCACCTGAGGCACGGTTTGCAGCAGAGAGCATGATGGGGAGCGCAGCACAAGCAGTGGACCTGCTGCCCTATCTGTCTGTTATCTCCCGTTCGATCTGACTGATCTCCCCATTCAACCCGCCCGTCACCCCCCAGGAGGCACGCATGGCAGCAGAGAGCATGATGGGGAGCGCAGCACAAGCAGTGGACCTGCTACCACGCACCCCCCGCATTCTCTCCCTGCAGCTGCAGCTCATCAACGACTACCCCCTCTCATGGCAGTACGCTGGCTCTCCCCCCACCCGCCGCATCCGCATCCTCCCCCTCCCTGCCTCTGCTCGCTCGGAGCTTGCTCCAGCAGCTCGCTCAGACCTTGCCCCAGCTGTCACTGGTCGATCCGATTGCCCTGTCGGTGCCATAGGTAGTGTTGTTGACCCCAGTGCAGCGATTGATGGAGATAGTGGGGATTGGCAGGGAGAAGAGGGAGGTGAAGACATGGTGGGACAGAGAGGTGGAGCGGAGCAGAGAGGTGGATGTGTGGTGGAGAATGTTGCAGCATCTGGGTGGACTGTGGTTAGTCTGCCGAGGAAAGTGAGCTGATTGTGAAAGATGTTACGTTACAAGAGGATATGCGGGGAGAGGAGGATCAGAGAGGAAATCAGAGAGGAAGTCGTGTCGTGAAGAACGCACCAACACTTGGGTGGATCGTGGTCAGTTTGCCCAGAAAAGTGTGAGCTGGTTATGAAGAGTTACCATGTTCTTCAAAATCAGAGTTATGTACATTCTTACAATCAAATCTATGTCACATCATAGAGTACGAACCGCCACTAGGGATTCACCCACAAGATGGCTCAAGCCATGCTCTTTACGGCGCTCCCCATCCTAATATAGCTTCAGTGTCACTTGCTGGTGTCAACGCCTTTGGACTGCAGGGCCTCATCGTCACTCTTCTTCATCGTTGACTGCCCTCCCTTGCTCCTCCCTGACCACACAACGGAGAGCATACAATAGTTGAGGATTTTTTATACTACGGACTGTGCATGACGGATGAAGGAAAAAAGCACGGTTCACCCTTTCAGAGCAAAAGCTTCGCCCACGCCTCACCTTGAGCCAGGTTGATTTGAGCTTCCAGGGACTTGCCGCCAGTTCCCCCCTCCACCACCGTCTCGCCTTCCTTCACGCGCCCCTCAAGCTCCTGCGGTGCAACAAGAGCGTCAGCCGCGGAAGGAATGCGAATCAGTCCAAGCCAAGCCATCACCGCAACGAGCAGACTCGAGAGGACGTCAGACCAGAGACGTTGAACGATCCTTCGCGGGTTTCAGGGCAATAAAATGCAAGTTGAATTACCTTTTTCTCTTCTGCTGAAGCCTCTCTGACCTCCTGCGCCTTCTCGTACTTGGAAGCCATGACAAGCAGGATTGGTAGGGAAATGCGATGATCAAGATGCTTGGGGAGAAATTTGAACGCCTACTTCTTGCGATGGCCATGACGAACCATCCTTCTCGCCTCTATATACGACATCGCTTCGCTTCTATCCGACTCCGCGTACGAGTCAATCTGATTGCTGGAATGCGGTTCGAAGCTGGGCTGGCAGCCATAGCTTCTCTGCTGGCGTACATAGGGAATTCCACGTCGCATCTTGATGGTGCATGATTGCGCGTGGATTTGTGCGAAATTGTACTCGTTTTGTACAAACTCGTTACTCCTGCCTTCCGTGCACGTATTTCCTACGTGCTCCTTCGCCTCGCCACAACTTCTTATTATTGCAAAGTGACCAACACCGGATTCATCAGTGCATGAGTTCCAACCTCAATGTGGTGGTACCACTACATCAAACAACAGAGCATCATCTCATATTCACAGGAAAATGCCTCCTACTGACTGCCGTTCCATATGAAGCGCTAGTTGGATTTCTAGTTGGGTTGTATACGGTGTGTCATGTCAGGAACATTCTTGCAACGTTGGCATGCTTGTCCAGAAGCTTCTGAAGTCTGTTTGTGCACCATTTCAAGCTGGAAATCCACACTTTAGTGGCACATCCTCAAGGGCACACTGGAGCTGACTATATTATAACACTAAGTCTGCTGAATGCTGTACTATATCACCTTGTTGAGCGAGCAACCGGCAAGCAGGATGGCAATCAGCGCTCAAGCTTGCTGACTAGGCTGTCAAGAGGAGGTAGCTCGTTGATGAGATCCGCCCAGTCAGGCATGCCCTGCAGGGAGAGAGGGAGAGTGAGAGTGAGGGAGAGTGAGAGTGAGTGAGAGCGAGAGTGAGGGAGAGGACACAAGCATTAGTGGACAGAAGCTACAGCGACAGAGGAAACCATGAGAGGATGGATCGCGCATGATCACAGGTGAAGTCAGCCGGGGAAAGACGAAATTGGACCAAGTAAATAAGGCAGCAGCAGAAGCGGGCGGCGACTCACAGTGCCTGATTTCCTGACTCGGCCGTCCAGTCGCAGCACGATGAAGGCATCGCTGCCCTCCACCACCTTCTCCGCCTTCTGCTGCGACCGCACCCATCTGACCACAGGCGCCATGCCATGCCATGACATTTAACGGACATGCCGTACCATGTGTGATAAACGATTTCCAAAGGTTCCCAAAAGGGAGGAGGAGAAAAAGGGGAAAGGATGAGTAGTGTACATGATTTGGTCGGTTGAATCATGATAGCATGCACATGCAGGCTCGTAAACAAGCTCTGTGTGTACGTGTGCATGTACAGCATAATCATGTGCTTTCCCTCTCACTAATCCCACTCCCTCCTGTCCCCCCCCCACTCACTGGTTTCCCTGCCTCCTTGGCCCCTCTGCCTTCCCAACTCACTGCCCTCCATGTCCCCCCCAACTTCCCTGTCCCACTACCCCCTCCATCCCCAACAAACTCACTGGTCCCACTCTCCCGGTGACACAAATTCAGCCTTGAGCCGTCTGTCTGCCTCAGCCACTCTCTTTGCTGCCGCCTCCCCCACCTTCCCCGCTCACTGTCACCCCCCTTCCCATTCCCCATCCCACTCACTGGTCCCATTCCTTGGGAGACACGACTTCAGCCTTGAGTCGTCTGTCCGCCTCTGCCACTCTCTTCGCCGCCGCCTCCCTCGCCTTCTCCTCAAACTCCTCCTGCCACTCGCACTCGGGTGGTTGGGTGGACCACGATGAGCGGCAAGGAGCAGGCAATCAAGGGGCAAACACTTTCACACTGCACTAAGGAAAGAAGGGAAGAGCGAGGGAACCCAGGGAACAGAAAACAATGAAACAAACAAGTGAATGCCCCAGTCAGCTAAGCTCAGACTGAAATCCAGCTGCAGTTGCTGCACTTTAACAAAGCACCAGTCGCTACTGCTGCATCTCACCAGGGATTCCAGTGTGGCAGCAGGCTTCTTGACAGCAGCAAACCCTTTCTTCTTGCTCTCCGCCAGCACACCACCGCCCTTGCTCTGCAGCACGGGCACGAGCAGCACGCCGCGCTCCTGCAGCTGCTTGCGGTACCCCTCTGCCCGCTTCATCGCCTGCTGCACCGCCTCCTTGCGCCCCGACAGAATCACCTGCACGCACACAGTACGATCAAGAATTCTCAAAACCGACTTCCCTCCGCGCGCTTCATCGCCTGCTGCACCATCTCCCTGCACCCCGATAGAAACACCTGCACGCACACAGCACGGCAGGACAGGACAGAGCAGGGCAAAACTGCAGCTCCAGTCCCCACAAGCTGGGACTGCAGCTCCAGTCCCCGAGCTGGGACTGCAGCTCCAGTCCCCAAGCTGGGACTGCAGCTCCAGTCCCCACAAGCTGGGACTGCAGCTCCAGTCCCCACAAGCTGGGACTGCAGCTCCAGTCCCCACAAGCTGGGACTGCAGCTCCAGTCCCCACAAGCTGGGACTGCAGCTCCAGTCCCCACAAGCTGGGACTGCAGCTCCAGTCCCCACAAGCTGGGACTGCAACTGAAAAGTCATCGCCTGCTGCACCGCCTCCCTACTCCAGCGTCTCAGCTCCACCACCTTGCCCGACTGCAGCCAGAGAGGCAAGCGAGAGAGAGAGAGAGAGAGAGAGAGAGAGAGAGAGAGAGAGAGAGAGAGAGAGAGAGAGAGAGAGAGAGTGTGTCACAGCCCCCACTCAAGCACCCTCTTTCCATCGCTCGCACTCACCGGGCGTGTGGTGCCTCTGAGCTGCACCAGCTCCACCACCTTGCCCGATTGCAGCCGGAGAGGCAGGCGTTAGGGCGTGATACAGCTCACTCACCCCCGCTCAAGCACCCGCTGCCCTTTCCACTCTCACTCACCGGGCGTGTGGTGCCTCTGAGCTGCACCAGCTCCACCACCTTGCCTGACTGCAGGCGGAGGGGCAGGCGGGAGAGCGTCTCGTCACGTGACACGCGCCCCATCTGCTCTTCCTCTCGCCGCTGCTCCCACAGGTACAGCCCCACCATCGCCGCCCCGCCTGGAGGTGAGGGGAGGGGAAGGGGGTAGACGCCAGGCAGGAGATCATCAGGGAAAGAAGGAGAGAAATGAACGCAGATAAGCCCGCATGGAAAAAGCTCCATGAAAACACTCAGCTCACCCCCATCCTCTCTGCCCTCTTCCTTCATCTGCAAGACTGCAACCTCCATCACCACTCTTCCACGCACCCCAGCCTCAACCAGTCTGCACCTCGCAGCACCGCTCTTCATCGCACAGCACCCTCACCTCCCAGGTCAATGGCCAGGTTGCCACTAGTGGTGAGCAGATCTGGGGCGTCCACCCCTCCTTGGACGGCCAGGATGAACCGGGGGATGGTGATGACGGTGGCGATGCCAGCAGCCATGCCCAGCGCCACGTACAGGAACCTCCTCACTCCTCTGAACGGCGCCTGCACCTCTGCTATCAGCTTCAAGTCCCGCCGAAACTTGCCGCCCACTTCCTCGCCGCCCTGCCTTGCCTGGAATGGGAGAGGGGGAGGAGAGAGCAGGAAGGAAGGGTGGGCAGTGTCCCGCACATCAGCTCTTATCCAATCCTTTCCCCCCCTGCAATCTTCTCCTTGTGCTCTTTCAGTCCGGTTCTCTCTTCTTCTCCCCCTTCTCATCCCCTCCCACTCTATGGTACATGCAAGCATCACCACACCCAAGTCTGTTTATTTTCCTCGCCTAAACTCTCTTCCAAACCCCGGTGCGCCTTTACAGTGTCTCCCTATCCAACCTCCACTCACCCCCCTCCACTCACCCCCCTCCACTCAACCCCCCATCCACCCCATCCATTGCCCCTCACCTCCTCCTGAAGCGCTCTGAATTCCGGCATGGCGCGGAACGCCGCCATATCCGGGTCGCTCAGAATGACGCTGAACTGCAGCCCGTACCGCAGAGCCTCGCGCAGCGCCTCCTGCGCCTGCACGCCTTCCTCCCTGCACGCGCCACGTCACCCGCGCCACGTCAGGTCATGGTATAATCGCACTCGAAATCCAATCATCTGGCCGCGTGCGACCAAAGAAATGCTTAATGCGGAAATCCCAGTGCCACTAGCTCTATTAACTTGCGAATTTACGTTATATGGCCCTGGCGCTACCTGAAAGCATGGCAGCACGCCTTGTTATAGAGCGCGGCCTGCGCTTCTTCCTCGGAGGGCTTCATCTCGAGCGCCATCTCGAACCGCCTCAGCGCGTCGCGGACGCGCCCTTTCTTGTACAGCTCCAGCCCCTGATTCACCGCCTGCTCCGCGCTTCGCGGGACCGCCATATCCGGGGCCGTCCCCGCAACCGGCGCTGCTCCGTCTCCCCCGTCGCTGGCTTTCGCCCTGACGCTCAGAGCGACGCCCTGTACCCGCCACCAATGGCGCTCTCCCGCGCTTGTTCAGCTGCCCGTCCGCACTCTTCGATTGCTTTCCGGGCAGCCAGAAGAGCATCGTCACTAGATACAGTATCATTGCAGTCTGTGGTGCTCCTTGAGTAATGCGCCACTGCAGCCGCCAGCCTCTCTCTCTCCTGCTGCAACCGCTCGTTCAGAATCTGCTGCTGCTCACACTGTGTCTGCAGCGCTGCCAGCATCTCACTCTCACTCATCGCCACAGCCGCAGCCGGCACAGAACCACTAGACCCAGTCGCTGCACCGGCCATTGCCGCCGCATTACCATTGGTTGCAGCAGCACCGTTAGCCCCGGCCTCCCCTCCAGTCCCCTCCGCTCCACCAGCCTGCCCGAGACTCTCTCGGCACTCTTGCAAAGACGCCTCGCATTTCGCCAACTCAGCTGCAGCGGCAGCGTCGGAAACAGAGCCACTGAGTTCCCCTCCTCCTCCCCCTCCTCCCCTGGTGTTGTTGCTGATGTCGGCGAAGGTTTTGAGATCCTCGGCTTTGATTGGCCCCGAGTGATTCGCTTTAAGCCGCGCGATTTCGTCCATAAGCGTGCGCACCTCGTCGCGGAAGAGCTGGCGCTTCGCCGTGCGCAGCTGCTGCTTCTCGATCTCCGCGCGCAGCTTCCCAAGCACCTCCTCCGCGCTCTCCCCCGGCCGCGGTTGCGCCGGCTGCTGGTGGTACCGCGGGAGCAACAGGGACGCCGCGGAGTGCGCTGCGACGTGCGCGTCGGTGGCGGTGTAACGGAAATTGTAACCAATCTCCACGGAGAGGAAGGCGAAGCATGCGAAGAGCGCGAAGATGAGGAGCGAGCGAAGGTTCGTATGCGACACGAGGCTTGACAGTGCCGACGCCATGATAGGCTGAAATGTCGCGACAAACAGATGCCTTTATACCAGCAACTTCGAGATCATCGTGCGGCGCTCAAAGAAATACCCATGCTGGTCCTAACATGCAAAATGTTCTGGCGTATTTTGGATTGTATGGCAAGTGGAGCTGTTGGGTGCGCGGGGAAGGTGAGTTCTGTTTTGTGACCTAATTGCCAAGCCAGCACAAACGCAACTGAACCATCTCACACACGCGAGTGGATGTTGGAGGAACAAAATCAGGTGAGCTGTACCCACTGAGTAGTATGTGGCATTGCTTCACTCTTTGACAAGAGACTGGGCATTTTTTGCCTCTCCTCAACTCATCCATTCGTTCACTTCAGTTGTAGGGGGCACCTTCACATTCTTGGTTTCAGCCTACATCCTGATTAATTCGGATCGTCACACTGGTGCTAGGGAACGTGTTTCTGCAATCGTTGCATAACGTCGCATATCAAGTAACTTGACGCACAGCAGCCATGGGCGACCGCACGGTCCACGTCGGCAATCTCGAGACGTTCGTGAACGAGAGCACGCTCTACCTGCTCTTCTCCCAGTTCGGCACTGTCACCAACGTTCGCCTCGCTGGGTAAGGCATGATGATGCATTTGCTGTGCTTTGCATTTTGTTCAGCTGCGCTAACAGCAGTCAGACTTCAGATCTACGGACTGGATATGCCACTGTGGTTTTTTATTAATCGATTTAAGCCTTCTTGAACATGTCCGTCGTCCTGTTGTTTCTTGCTCGTACTTCTGCGAATTTCTGCTACCATTGTTTATTTTATCCTTTCCCGCTTCTTGCAGTGACCCTAAGATGCAGACGCGGTACGCGTTTGTGGAGTTCAATGATTCCGTTATGGCGCACGCAGCGTGCTTGCTGGACGGGCTACAGGTCGGCTCGCGCAATCTCCGTGTCTCGCTCTCCAAGCCATACGCCGGGGTACGCATCGCTCTTCCATGCCATCTCCTCTTGTATTTGTCTCGCTGGCGTTCTGTTTCGTATTGCGTCCATCGTGAACCCAGCGTACTCTCAAGCGTAGTGCTCGCACTCAAACCCAATCTCTATGCCCAATTCTTGCCTCTGTTCTAAGATCGGTCTTAGCTTCCGTTCTTCTTGTGCCTGGGCATGACAGAAAGGAGCGGCGTCAGCAGCCGTGCAGAACCCCTTAGCTGCGCTGATGGGCGGCGCGGGACTGGCAGCGACACCCGCCGTGAGCGCTGCGCCTCGGAAGCGGTCCACCGTGGAGGATCAGGAGCGCATTTCGCGGACCATCCACGTCCGCAATGTCGACATCCAGGTCAGCTGGAGTTAAAAGCATTGCTTGCTTGTATTTCTGCGACGTAGCCTGCTTAGCGTCCTTATTGATCGTCATCGTATCCGCTTTTCTTACTTCAGCATATATCTTCCTCCCACCTTTTCCCCTTCCGCACGTCGCTTCCCCCGTCAGATCACGGAGGCGATGCTGGTGGAGTATTTCGGCGTGTGCGGGACCGTGACGGCCGCGCGCACGGCGGGCACGAACAACCCCCGTACGGCGTGGATCGAGTTCGCCGCGCAGCAGTCCGCGCTCGCCGCGCTCTCGTTGGACGGCCAAGTCCTTGCCGGGCAGACCTTGAGGTAGTTTCGGGCAGACCGTAATGTTGTTTCGAACGCACGTTGACGCTAGAGTAGTCGTTTTAGCCTGCAGTCACACAAGCATAGCGATATACCTTGTGTTGCCCTGCCCCGCTGCACATCACCCCTCAACCCTCCCACCCTGTGTGTCTCTCCCTTCCGCCTCCCTCTTTCCGCTTGCTAACAGAATCTCCCCCAGCAAGTCCGCCATTCAGACCAACGCGCTCTCGCAGCGCAACGCGCCGGCGCCGGCGCTGCCGACCATGACGCCCGCCATGATGATGGCCGCCGTCGCCGCGCCGCAGAACATCGTCAAAGTGCAGGGCATCCCCGCTAAGGTGTGCCTCGCTGTCCCGCTTACCAGCTACATCCTGCGGTTACTGTTCATTGCTTCTATTTGCACGTTTCTTCTCTCCGCGCATCTCCCTTCCCCCTCCACGCATCTCCCCCCTCCGCGCATCTCCCCCCTCCGCGCATCTACCCCCTCCGCGCATCTCCCCCCTCCGAGCATCACCCCCCTCCAAGCATCGCCCCCCTCCCCGCACTTCTCCGCTCCGCGCCTCACCTGCTCTCTACTCCCGCCCCTTGCGTCCCGACGCCCATCTTTCCCGCCCGACCCTCCCTCCCGCCCTCCCTCCCGCTCTACCCTCCCACCCTACTCTCCCCGCCCTGCCCTTCTCGCCCCTCCCGAAGCCCACCCACCCCGTGGTTCCCCCGTTGCGTGTGCGTGCTGCCGTGTGCCGCCCAGGCCTCGGAAGCGGACGTGCGCACTCTCGTGGAGGCTCGCTGCGGCCACGTGCGCTCGATCATCATTGTGCCCGTGCCAGGCCCGCCGCCTGAGGAGCCGGGCAAGGAGAAGGGCGAGGGCGAGGAAGGGGGCGACGGCGAAGAGGGTTACAAGGGGCCGACGAAAATGGCGACGGTGGAGGTGGAGGATGCAGAGGCGGTGGCGAAGGCGCTTGAGCTGAACGGCACCAAGTTCATGGGCGCTACCATCTCGTACGTTCTCCCCTGCTGCCCCTCCGCCCCCCGGACTTGCCGTTTTGGCTTTGTTGCTGCTGTGCTGTTTGTTACCCTTTCCCTCTTCCCCCCTTTATCTCCCATTCTCCCCTCCCCTCCCTTCCCCCTTTCTCTCCTTCAACCCTTGCCCCCTTTCCCCCTTACCCTCCTCTCCTCTTTTTGCCCTGCTCGTCCCTCCCGCCCCCGTCCTTCCCTGCCCTTTCCCGCCATCCGCACTTGTATCCCGTATTTCATCCTCCCTTGCAGCGTTGTACTCGCCATGGCACCAACTGCTTCATTCTTCCTGGCAGCACCTTCATAACCCATTCTTTTCTTGCATCCAACTCCCGTACCCTCCCCTTCATTCTTAACACACCCCCTTTTCTTGGCTCTTGCGCTGTTGTGCTGCTTCCGCTGCCTCTGCTCCAACACCTGCTGCCATCCTGCCGGCTTGCATTGCTGCTGCTGCCGCCGCCGCTGCCGCCTCTGCTGCTGCTGCCTGTCGCTGCGGCTACTGGTGTGGGCGGCTGCTGCTGCTACTGCTGGTGCTGCTGCTACTGCTGGTGCTGCTGCTGGGTGGTGTGCTGGTGAGCAGGGTTGAGAAGGTTGAACCCCTCCCGCCCGCCCCCGTGCCCGCCCCTTCGTCCATCCCTCCTGCAGCCTTCGCCATTCCCGGCCTCGACCCCTCTCTCCTCGACCCCTCCCTTCTCTCCGATCCCACCTTCCTAGCCGCTGCCACTGCAGCTGGTCTCCCCACCACCGCCCTCCCTCCCCCGCCCCCTCTACCCCCCAACACACAACCCACCATCGTGGCATCTGAGACTGGCACTGATGGCACCGCCACAGGCACAGACGCCACAGCAGCAGCTGCAGCATCGGCAGACGACCGGAAAGACTCTCACGGTGGGTTGCCGCATCCCCATTCCCATGGCTTGGCTTGCCCGTGTCTGCACGGCAGGCAGTTGTGTTGTAGTCACTGCATCTTGACTTGTGATGTGTGGTACGTTGGCTATATGGGTTGTCAATCTACCTCTTCATGTGTGGTGTGGTGTGGTGTGGTATGGTGTGGTGTGGTATGGTGTGGTGATGCAGGGTCGCACAAGCGCTCGGCGGATGACACTGAGGGGGGAGAGAAGCGCGCACGCCATGACTGACAGGCCATGTAAACACCAATTGGGTTCACTTGGCCTCGAAACCTAACCTTTCTTTGCCAACACACCATGGCCACTACTTTCTAGGCTATTTCTGCCATCTATAGTCTACACCCTGGGCTAGGTGGTCACCACCTACAGATTAGCTTCAGTGGTTGTCTGGTTCTAGCATTTCAGATTTCCTTGGGTTGGGTGTAGTGTGGAAGTAGGCTTGTAGGATTCATATCTCACACATCAGGTGTGGAAATTGATGAGCAGGTTCAACTGTTTAACCCAAACTAGAAACTGCATGAGGTGTCATATTCATGTCTTTGCAGTGTCATGGCTCTGTCTTGCATAATCAATCCTGGGTGCTAGAATGGGCAGGCTGCTGGTGGCATGACATGACTGGCTAAAAAAGGGTTTTTGGCAAACCCAAGCTCACACAATGGTGGAAGTTACACTGCAAAAGCTTTGCCATTAGAAGAGCACCTAACACACCAGCAGGGAACTTGCCTCCAAAGTCTCCTTACTTCTGTCTCAACCAAGAATCATCCCCTCCAGCAGCAAACTCTGGCGCTTTAGGCGGCGGATTAGCAGCAAACACATCGTGCTTCTCACCTCCACTCACCCCGCCACTGCTGCTGCTGCTGCTGCTGCTTCCACCTTGAGCGCCCTTGTCCCCGCCTGCGCCCCCCCAAGAGAACCATCCTCCCCACCCTGACGATGTGCCACTTTCTGATGCTACCGGACCAGTCTGTACTGCTGCCGAGCCAGATCCAGAGCTGAGTTCTACGTTCGGCAACGTCACAGCGCCACCAGCGCCGGGGCTGACTAGCTCAGGTTGGGTAGACAAGGTAGGGGCGGCGGCAGCGGGAAGGGCGGCGGGTTGGACAACCACGGGCATGCTCATGGGCTGCTCGATATGCGCGGGGGGAGGCTCGTCGCGCGGGGGAGGCGGAAGCGCGGAAGTCATGCGGTTGAGCATGATCCCCGCGCCCTCGATCAGCCCCAGCAGCACTCCGCCGAACACGGCGGACTGCAGCGCGGATCGCGGCCCCGCGCGCAACTGGAGGAAGCCGCCGGTGAGGAAACCCGCGGCGATGGAATTCCAGGGGTCTTCCTTCTGGCGGAGATACACTAATGAGCAGTCGAACGTTGAGAACAGCCCGCCCCACACCGCGAAGCTTCCGCCAATGCGCGGCGCGTTGATCCGCACGGCCTGCGTTCCGCCGATAAGGCGCTCCCCGCGCGGAGAGTTCTTCGCCCCGCGGATGAAATGCCACGCGGCGCCGCCCACCGCGCCCATGCTGAACGCTCCGCCTACGTCATCGAGGATTCGATCTGGGCACGGCTCCCGGCCGTACTCCCCCGCCATGTGCTTTTAAGGAGGTCTGTGGAAACTGCTTACAGAAAGGCACGCGAAGGCGTTTCGATCCGGTGAGGTGGTGCAAAGCGGCAGATCGTGGTTTCTCGCTACAATACAGGCGGATCCGGAATGGAAGAGGGTACGCGCGATAAGCGATGGCTCGTAACGAAGCGGCGCCACGGAACGGGATAAAGGCGGGGGAGCGGGAGGGGTAGGTGGATGGACTATCTCGAAACGGAGGCGGCTGGTGAAGAAGAAAGACCCAGATGGTCTACCATGCAGTGAACGAAAAGGGGACATGCAAGTCGTATAAGCTGCTAGCTGTGTTTCAGGATTCTCGAGTTTGTGGGGTGGCCGCGGGGTTGGGAGGAAGGGATGGATGGAGTAAAGGCAGGGGAAAGAAGGGATGGGAGTTGGCAGTCACAAACCCGAGTTCGCCTATATCGGGTTCAGCTTCTTTGGTTGGCTGCGGTAAATTGGGAGAGGTTGTGGGGTGTGCGCCGACTCCCACTGTATCGCGGACACCACGTCAGCCAAACAGTTCGTCATACACTCGTCCTTCATTACGGTAAGGCTTACCTCAATTGAAGTAGAGAGGAAATTCTCTTCATACTACATTCTTCTCGCGCTGTTAGCATTCAAGAACATACCGGTGTATGCTTTTCTGAGTGTGCATGTGAGATAATGGGTTTTTTCAAGGGGAGGTGCAGCTTGAACGCCATTGGCGGGACACCAGAAGGCGCGGTTCGCGAACGGTGCTCTGACGATTTGCGAGCGAAGCGAGGCCCTCTGACGACACAACCAAGAGAGTTTCCCGCAAATTCTACCACAAGATGTAGAAGCACGAGACCTAAATGGACGGCCACGATGTTAACAAGATCTTCAATTTTGACCAGAGATGTGAGGCGGGGCGAGAAGGCAAGGACACTGCATTCCCCAGGCGCTTTGCGCGCCTGTCGCGGGATGGCGCCTGCTTCGCATCCAATGCTCGTTGGGAACATCTGCAGCAGCAGGCATAGAAAACGGGACGGGAGAGCACAAGAAGCAGCATAGGATGCTATGGAACACCACTACCATCACAGCTGTTCTTGAGTTCTGTCTGGTAGCGGCTTCTCCCACTACCATAACCCCATGAGCAGTGCCTGCGTGTGCTCACCATTGTTTTCTCTCCTTCGGTCTGGTGTCTCTCTTATGGCATCCCACCACTGCAGCTGTTGTGGAGCAGTTGTCACCGTTTCAAGACACTGATCCCCACATTGTACTTTAAGTTGTTCGCATGCGTACTATGCAGTGAGTTGTTGCTCGGTCTTAATTACTGGCCAATCCGATTCGGCCGAGGCGCGTACCTCAGAACGACACTGCTGTGACAGGTGTCGGTGATTCTGAACTCACGCCACCATTAGACTCCACCCAATCAACGCAACGTTGATTATTTCGCTGACCAGTAAAATTATGCATTAGGACCGTGATTAAGCAGAACTAATATACGCGGCCATGGACGCGGCCTCGACGGCAGCCTTTCAGGGTAATCTAGAGGACAAATCCCGAGAGGAGATCAAGCGGCTGTGTCGCCAACTCGGCGTCAGCAGCCGAGCAGCGACGGTGGGTGGTCGATCTGTTGCCTAACACACGGCTGTTGCTGCTTGTTCTGATGCCCGCCGTGCTTTCCAAGTAGTGCTCATTTTTGTTGTCACCAAATCAGTTTACTTCATTATCAGCGAAGATCTGCCTTTGAAACAACACGCCCTCGACCTATTATCTTTCGCATCCTCCCGATTTCACCATAATCCTCCCTTGTTAACCTTGCCACGCACCCTCCATCCCTCGTCTCTTCGTCCAACCCCCGCCGCTTTTCTGTTCTCCACGGCCATGAACAGACGTCGATGCTGGTCGCGAGAATCAGGGCTCGCCTCCACGCCTCAGCTGCTCGGGGTCCCGCACCAAGGTTGGCCTTTCCCACTCCCTTTAGTTTCCCGCCTGTTCCGTTTCTCTCTTTTCCCGTGTCCGCAGCAGCTCCTAATTCCACGGGTCCATGCACTTCCCTTCCTCCTTCCCCCATTGCCGTTCCTTCTTCGTCTGTCCACCGTTCTGTTCGTCTTCCCGCCCTCCCCTCACCATCCACTTCCTGTTTCTCATGTCTCGTCATTCCCGCTTGGTCAGCAGCAGACCTTCTCTTTGCGACAATGACGCATCCATCCACAACGAGCCTCACGCCGAGCCTCGGAACGAGCCTTGGAACCAGAGCAAGATTTCGAGTCAGCCGCAGGAGAAAACGCGCACTTCTCGGCTGTTCGGGGGGCTGATTCGGCGCTGCAGCCCTGCGCGCAGACACGAGAATGCGCAGACGCCACAGAAGCAGCCGCAGCAACCACACCAGCAACAGCAACAACAGCATCAACATCAGCATCAGGGGCATCAGGTGTTGCAAAATCAGCACAGGAAAGAGGCAGGCGGAGGAGCAGCAGGCAGGGCCGCCTGTGCACAACCGTCCGTACCGTATGCTCGCACGACGGATCCGTCTGTTAGAGAGGCGGTGGCGCGTGCTTATAGTGAGGTTGCTGGTACGTACGCCAGCTCGATCCATTTCGGCGGTAGTGCTGCGAGCGAAGGGTCCGAGGAGGTGGCACAGGAGGTGAGGGGACACGTGGCAGCGGAACGCGACGAACACGTGGTAGAGCAACGCAAAGGACACGTGTCTAAAGACGGACACGTGGCAGGGGAAGGCAAAGGACACGTGGCAGCAGATGACTTGATCAAGAGTGACAAGGGAGTGCTGGGCGTGAGTGGGAGGAGCAAGGCGGTGAGGAAACCGAGGGAGCGGGTGGGGCCGGAAGTGGAGGAGTCGAAGCGGCGGATTCTCGCGGCGTTCCTGCGAGACATGGACGGCGCCGACAAGCCCGCCGGCCACGCGGCGAGCCCCGTGCAGGTTAATCGGCCGGAAGAAGAGAGGCCGTCGGGGGAGATAGAAAGTGGTGATGTTTATGATGAAGGCAAGGAGAGTGGGGAGGCTATGGGCGGTGATGAGATGATGCAGGGCGGGAGTGCGGCGAGGGGTGTAGTTGACTGTGAGCCTTGTGACAGTGTCGATGAGCACTGTAACGGGGACGAGGACGGCGAGCTCGCGGGCGGCGAGGAGCACGTGTATCACAGCGAGGATTATAATAGCGAGGATGAGTTGCACGGTGATGGGGACGAGGCGGCGGATAAGAGCGACGCGCCAGTGGATCTCGAGTCGCTCGTGGCCATGAGCGGACGCTCGCAGCTCACGGGCATGGCCGGCGCGCTAGCTGGGAAGACGAACCGGGAGTATGAACAGGACGAGGCTGCGCTTCAAGCCGATGCTTCTGGAGATGCTGTTGCCACTGATTCTCTCGCTGAAGCTACCTCTGCAGCCATTAGAACCGATTCGCTCGCCGCGAAGGCGAACAGCGCCAAGGCGGAAGGACTCGCGGACGCGAACGCGCAGGGCGGCGCTCCCCTGTCCGTTCCGCCGTCTCCCGTTCCCCCCGTCGCCTCGTCGTCCCCGTCTGGTTCCTCGAGCGACTCGCTCGCGCACTCCACGCCAGCCGATTCGATCGCCATGATCGCCTCCAGCTCGTCCGGCGACGATTCCGGCGACTCCCCTACCAGCGACACTCGGACGAGCGACTCCCGCTCCAGCGTCATCCCCGCGATAGGAAGCAACCGCCGCGTCGATCCCGCGGAGCCGGCGGAAAGCTATTTTGCCGCTGCGGACGGCACGGCGGTGGGCGGAGGAATGGATTCGGGGGATGCGGGGGGAGTGGGGGAAGCGGACGGCGCGGAGAGGGGCTTGGGGAGAGATGAGCTGGAGTCTGGGAAGCTGGATGTTGACGTGAGCGGTGCTGACGTGGCGGATCCTGTCGAGATTGAGGCGAGCTATGACGAGGGTGGCAGTGGGAGGAGGAGCAGGAAGCGGTGGGGCGATTGTGCGCCCGCGGGGAATGAGGGATGGGGTCGCTCGCTGTGGGGCGGGAGTGGCGCGGCGGAAGGAAAGGAGTTGGAGGGGAGTGCGGGCGGGGGAAGCTTGCGCTTGAGATGGCTGGTACTGGAGGAGGGAGAGGAGGGGGAGGAGGAGGACGGAGAAAAGGAGGAGGAGGAGACGGGAGAGGAGGAATGGGTAGGCGAGGGGGATGTGGGGGTCGATGCAGACGGGATGTACATCGAGGAAGCGGATGAGAGAGAGGAGATAAGGGACTTGGAAGGAAAGTTTGAACCGCATACATCCCTGCTCCATGCTCCCACCGCCTTGCCTTCCCTCTCCATACCTTCACCTTCTGTTCTCTCGCCCTCCGTCCCCTTGCCCTCGCCGGCCCCCTCACACGAGGCCACTCAAGAAACGTCCCAACCCACTCTGCAGCACCAAGCTCTGCTGGGATCTCCCCAGCCTTCCATTCACCTACAGCCAAACGATGCCGACGAGTATCACCCTCTGCAGCCGCCCATGCAGCTGCCCGCCGTGCCCTCCCTGCACAGTAACCTCTCCTCCATCAAGCGCCGCCTCTCCCCGCGTGTTCGAAAGCCTACGCGTTTCCTCACCGCCTCCCGCCCCCTCACTCCTCCGCCATCCACCAATGCCACTGCTGTGGTTGCTGCAGCTGGCGCCGGTTTGTGCGGTGCTGTTGCTGGTGCCGCTTCCCCTGCTGGTCCTGCTTGTGGCTATCCTCCTCCTTATTCTGCTGCTGCTGCTGCTGCTGCTGCTGCTGCTGCCAGTGCGGCTGCAGCTGCCGTGCCTCTAATGACCGCAGCGTCAGTGCCATTACAGGCACCCTCTCATGCTTCTGCATCTGTGCCATTACAGGCACCCTCTCATGCTTCTGCGTCAGTGCTTGCATCATCACTACCATCGCCACCTGCGCCACAAGCATTTACAATTATGTCCGAGTCCCATCTCTCCTCTGCCGCTCCTTCTGCCGCCGTAACAGCTCAGTCAACGTCCATCTGTCGCTCAGTCTCATGCTCGTTCCAAGGGACGGCGCCTGCCAGTGCCACCCATGTGATCGATCTCGAGGAGTGCTGCCAGTCCGATGAATCTCGGCCGTCGGATGAATCCAGGCCGTCAACTGACTCGATGTGGTCAGCTGAATCCAGAGCGTCAGCTGAATATGAATCGTCAGTTAGAACTGATCCGTCAATTAAGACTACGGTGTCAGCTGAATCTCGGCCGTCAACTGAATCTCGGCCGCCTGCTGAATCTGGACCGTCAGTTGAATGTAGGCCATCTGTTAAATCTGCACCGTCAGCTGAATCTCTGCCACCAGCTGGATCTGGGCCGTCAGAGGAGGTACCAGCGACTGAGGAGAAGGCGATAAACGGTGGAGATAGCACTATCGCGGGTGCTTCTGGTGTGGCTGTACACAAATGTGACTATAACGAGAGGTACGGTCCTATGGAGGCCAGCGCAGAGAGCAGGAGCGATGATGGTGTGAGCAGTGAAGAGGAGTTGAGCAGTGAAGGGTCTGGGATGACTGGGAGGGAGGGGGAAGAGGGAGAGTTCGACTGGGCTGGATGGGGCGAAGAGGGAGTGGATGAGAGAGGGGAGGAGGGAGGGGCGGAAACGGAAAAGGAGAAACGGATGGATGTAAAGGAGGAGGGTAAGGTGGAGGGAAGGCAGCTTGTTTCTGTGGATGGCAGCAGAGCAGCAGGTGGCTGTGACACGATGCAACACCCTTCTAATGAAGAGGCGGAGATGGAGGACGGGAATGGGGGTGGGGATAGGGATGGGGATGAGGATGTGGGCGGAAACGAGGATGGAGATGAGGATGAGAACGGGGATGAGAACGGGGATGAGGCGGAGCGTGTGTTTATTGAGATGGTGGGAGGGGAGGGAGTGGCGGCTGGGCGAGAGTGGGACAGGGCGAAGGGAGAGGTGGAGAGGGAGGAGGAGAGTGCAAGTGGTGAAGTGAGCGTTGGTGCGCGTGGCACTGCGTTCTCTTCTCCGCCACTCGCAACTTCCCCCCACCCGCTCCTCTCAACGCCAGCTGCCATTTCCTCATTCTGCACGTCCCTCCTCTCCCCGCCTCGCCCTCTCTCCTCCGCCCTCCCTGGTGCTGGCGCGGGAGGAAAACTAACAGCACCAGCACCAGCACCAGCACCAGCACCAGCACCAGCACCAGCACTAGCAGCAGCAGCAGCAGCAGCATCAGCAGCAGCAGATGAGGCTACGTCTGCTGAGGCTGTAGCTGGTTCATGCAGAAAGGCGGTTATTGAGAAGCAGGAGGAGGTTCAGCGGGAGGCGGTTGGGAGGGACGGCGAGATTTGCCTGCAGGAAGGCGTTGCCTTGGCTCGTGGTGGCCAGAGCGGGTGCTCTGGGGGAGGCTTGACAGCGAGATGTGCGAGTAGTGGAGGTGATGCAAGTGAGGTTGGTGGGAGAGAGGGCGTTGCAGGTGAGGGTGTAGAGGGGAGCGAGGTGAGCAGCGGTGCAGAGGGGTGGAAGCTGGGGGCAGGCGGGGATGAGGAGGAGCAAAGAGGCGAGATGGAGGGGAGGGGAAGAGCTGAATATGAGGAAAGGCAGAATGGGGAAGAGCCAGCGAGTTCGGACGAGGTGACTGAAGAGTGCGAGGGCATGCAGGAGGAATGCGAGGGCGCGCAGGAGGAGTGCTCCAGCGACGCAGAGGCTGTGCGTGAGGTTGGCGCCAGTGCGGCCCTGGCTCTGCAGGGCTCACAGGGGACGGGTGAGGGAGGCGAAGAGGCAGCTGCGGAGGCCGCAGCAGCAGCAGCAGCAGCGATCGCATGGGGAACCGCCTTTGGGGTTGACCCTGCAAGTCAGGAGCACGAGGAATGGAGAGGGAGGCGGCAGGGAGAGGACATGTTTGAGGAGATTAGCGCCTGGGGTGCTGTCTCTGGGGTTGTGGGCTTTGGTAGCAGCCAGCCAGGTAGCAGCCAGCCAGGCAATAGCAGCAGCAGGTTGACGCCTGCTGTGTCATGGAAGCATGCGATCCGACCGTTCACTGCCAGTCCGTCACTCAGCCTGCTTGATAACCCCCTCCTCACTGCTCCCGCCGTCCCCGCCTCGTCTGCAGCTGCTGCTGCTGCTGCTGCTGCTGCTGCTGTTGTCGCTGCTGAGAACGCCAATGCTGCCACTGCCCCTGGCCCTGTCACTGCCACTGCTACTACAGCCGCAGCAGGTGAAATGAACCCCTTTCGCCCCCCTGTGCGCCGCCTTGTTCCCTCTGCCTCCTCCCCCGCCCTCCTACTAACCTCCCTTCAAATCAACCGCCCAGCCTCCCCCTCCTCCTTCCCCATCCGCCCTCCCTCCCCCAACGACCCCACTCGCCCATCCGCTCCTGGCCCCTACTCCTCCCATCCCTCCTCCCCCACTGCTTTCTCCGCCCATCACAGCCGCCCCTCTTCCCCCACCTCCGCGTATGCCAGCCGCCCGTCTTCCCCCACATCCGCGCATGCCAGCCGCCCCTCGTCCCCCACCATCCCCCTGCCCGACCGCCCATGGCTGAAAATCTCCCTCCGCCGCAGCCTAGAGCGCGCCCAAGCCGCCCAGCTTGCAGCCGCCGCCCTGGCAGCGGTTGAGAGGGCGGATGGTGGTGCGGAGGGGGAAGGGGCGGAGGGTGTGGCAGCAGGGGAGGGGGCGGGTGGATATGGAATGGGGAGCGCGGATGGCATGGGTATTAGAAGTCGTGGGGAAGGAGGAGTGGATGTGGAGAGGCGAGAGCCGGAGGAGAAGCAGGAGAAGCAGGGGGAGGAGAATCAAGAAGAGGAAAAGCAGGAGGAGAAGCAGGAGAATGATAAGCAGGGGGGAGAGGGAAAAAACGATGTGGTGAGTGAGTGCTACCTTGATGCTGACACACGCTCAGACCCTTCAGTACAAGAGGAGTGCGGTGGCACATCTGCCTCTACCGACATGTTCCACTCCACGCAAAAAGCCAGCCAGAGCACCAGTGCTGCTACTGCCAGTGCCAGCGCTGGTGCTGGTGCTGCCATCGCTGCTACTGGTGTTGTATCTGGCACCCCTGTTGCTGACCTGGTCCCTGTGGAAGAAGCTGCAGCTGTAGAGGCTGCTGAAAGCACAGCTGCTGCTGCTGCTGCTGATCCAATCGTTGCCAACAACCCCATGGCTCATCCCACTGAGGGAAACCCGATGGGTACCACTGGCGTGGCAGCAGGTGGCAGCGTGGCAAGGCAGCACTGGCATGTGAGCAGTGTGGTGGGGACTGCGATGGGCAGTAGAGGAGCGCGTATGGAGGGCAAGGACAGCCGTGTCAACAGCAAAGCCAGCCACGTGGAGAGCAAACCCGCCCACGTGGGTGCTCAGGCTCGCCCTCACACTGCCCTGCAGCGCACTCCTCCCCCTTCCGCAGGTGCCCCCACAGGTGCTCCCGCAGGGGGCCCATCAGGTGCTCCCACAGGCATATCCAATGTGCACGCTGCACAGGCGCACCCAGGTGTGAGGGAGAGGCAGAGCCCACTTGCTGCGCCGGTTCCTGCCATGCCTCGTCTGCCATTCAAGATCTCCACCAGGAAGGGCTTGGGCTCTGCTGCTCAGAATGCCACACCTCCTGCTGTTGCTGCTGCTGTTGCTGCTCCTCCTGCTGCCTCTGCTGCTCCTCCTGCTGCCCCTGCTGCTGCTGCTGCTGCTACCCCTCGTGCTCCTGCTGCTGTTCCGGTGGCACAGCAGAAGGCACAGCGTGGCACCACAGGCATGGGTGGTACCGCAAGGGCAGTGGGAAGGACAGGTGCAGTGACAGGAGCAGCAATGAGGAGAAGTGTGAGCGGGACAAAGGGTGGGGTAGGAACGGGATGTATGGTAGAGATGGGAGATGGCGTGGGAGCGGGAGGAGGGGGCGTGCAGGGGGAGGCAGTGGCGGAGGTGGAGGAGAGCTGTGGCTCATGCAGCATGGCCAACAGTGTGAGGCACAGCCCGGGGGCGAGGCCCCACCCCAGTGCGAGGAAGCCTGACAGTGTGACACAGAAGAGCCCAGCAGCAGGGCAGAGAATGGCGTGGAAGAGGCAAGAAGGTAAGGCCACGGCAACGGGAAGGCAGTCTGTAGCTGCATCCGCTGCAAAGCGTGGTGGTTCTGCTTCAGCTTCTGCGTCTGCCTCTGCTGCCGCCTCTGCTTCGGCCTCTGCAGTAGCAGCAGCTGCTGCCGGTGCTGGAGGTGTGAAGCGAGTGTCAACTGTCGGAGTGAAGGGGGCTGGAGGGGCAGCAGCAGCGGGGGCAGCAGTGGCGGGGCGGTCTAATGGAGCGGAATCGGCTGTGGGTGGGTCAGAGACTTGCGAGGAATGGAGCAGCTCAGGTAGCAGCTTGGGGAAGGGAGGGGCGGGCGGAGCGGGAGGAAGAGGAGTAGGTGCAGCAGGGAGCAGGCAGACGGCTCCAGAGAAACAGCAGCAGCAGCAGGTTTCAGTGTCTGCCTTGCATCAATCACAGAACTCTGCAATGGTGCAGCAGCAGCAGTTTCTGCAGACGCTGGCGTTCGGGCCAGAGTGGGTAGCAAGGAGGCGGGAGAAGGAAGAGCAGATGCAGCAGCAGAAGCTTGTGGCAGAGAACAAGGGGCAAGCGGCAGGGGGTGGTGGCAGTGGCGTGCATCAGCCGTTCAGCCGGCCTTTGTTTGGAGAGAGGAACGTGAGTCCACTGAGGAATGCAACACCAGGGGCTCAAGGTGATTCCAGGACACAAGCACAGGTGCAGGCACAGGTCGAGCAGCAGCAGCAGCAGCAGCAGCAGGGAGTGGTTTCCGCAGGAAAATTGCGTCCATTTGAGAGGAACTTGTTTCATCAGACAAACCCCATGACCTCACACGGCTTCCCTGCTCCTTCTCCTGCTGCTGCTCCTGCTGTTCCTGCTCCTCCTCTTGCTGCTTGTGCATCCAGATACTCGTCTGGGTCTGCTGACGCATCGCCCCGCCATCCGCCACCTTCCAACCCCTTCCTCCAGAGCCCACTCCACTCACTCGCCCCCAGTAGCGCTGCCACCAGCACCTCCACCCCGCCTCTCTCCCCCCGCGCTCCATCAGGCCCCTCTGCCAACCCTGCTCTCCCTCCTCCTAGGTCCAACCCCACGTCTCCCCGTGTCTCTGCTATGGGTGCTACTGCCGCGTCTCTCTCCCCGCCCCCCTCCCCGCGCTCCTTCCATGTGCTGCAATTCGCCATGGGGGGCTCTCCCAACGCCAGCCCCATGCACCCTCTGGCGTCCTCACTCTCTGGTGCTGCTCGCAGCCCCTCTGTGGGGCCCACTCCCTCTGCACCCCGCAGCCCCACAGTAGGACCCTCCTCTCTTGCACCTCGCAGCCCTGCTCGATTGCCTGCAGTTCCTCATACCTCTCCTGTTCCCGCGCACCCAGCTGCACCGTTTCATACTCCTGTGAGTCCACGTCATGGTGGCGGGGCTGTAGCTCCACCCACCCCTCCACACCCTTCACAACAGGCGATGCTGCGTGCGGGTTTGCACACTTGTAACATGCATGGGGACGCGTTCCTTGCGCCGCCCACTCCTCCACACTCAGCACATCAAGGCATGCTACAAGTGGGTTCGTATGGTTCTAGTGTGCATGGTAGCATGCCCCATGCAGGCATGCGTGGCAGCATAAATCAGGGTGCCATGACTGGCAACCTCCAGCAGCCAGGCTACTATGTGCAGCAGTATGTGCAGCCAGTGCCACTTCAGCAGCAGCAACAGCAGCAGCAGCAGCAGCAGCAGAGCCCATACCGCAACCGCCCGTGGCTCCAGCAGGAGAATCGGCAGCCATTCATTGCAGGGCCCAGCCCCAGCCCACCCCGTTCGCCCTCCCCTCACACCACTGCAGCCATGCCCTTTGTCTCCGGACCCAGCCGTAGCCCTGCCCGCACCCCTCCTGCCTACCACACGCCACCACCAGCACCAGCAGGAACACTCGTGCCTTCTCCGGCTGGCTACATTGGCAGTCCAAGCCGTTGCCTCTCCCCTGTGCCCTTCTGCCCTTCAGGCAGCCCAATGCCTGCTGCTGCCATGTCCCCCAATGCTGCCGGCTCTGCCAGCCCTGCTGGTGCAGGCACTCCTGACAAGGCCACCACGTCTTCGCGCTATGCCTCCCCTCTGCCTGCTCGGGGCCCGGTGGGGAGCATGTTTTTTGCAGGGCCCAGTAGAGGCAGTGCTGCTGCTATGGTGGCTCGGAGGAAGCTGGAGGCCAAGGCTGCTGCCGCTGCAGCTAGTGCTGCTGCTGGTGGTGTTGGTGCTGCTGGTGCTGCTGCTGGTGCTGCTGTTGGTGCTGCTGGTGCTGGCGGTGGTGGTTGCGGTGGTGGTGGTGGTGCGCAGGGGGGTGATGCGGTGGGACAAGGGTCAGGAGCAGGGGTTGCAGCAGTGAGGGGAGGAGTGGGGATAGTGGGTGGTCCAGGGGCAGGAGGATCAGCGGCGAGTGTGGGAGGAAGTGCGGGAGGTGGTAAGGCAGTAGCAGCACAGGTGGCGGGTGGAGGGGTGCTGACGTCATCATCGGCCATGAATGCACGGCAAGGATTCCCTGGGGGGGCAATTGCTCCAGTGAGTGTGCCTGGTACCGGTGCAGTGCCATGCATGGGCCCTTCTCCTGTCAGCAGTGCAGCAGTGAAGGAACCGCATGTCGCTAGGGTGGCACAGAAGCAGATTTCCAGTCATGCAGCTCCGCCAAGTGGGCCTGTGGTTCCTCCTCTTAGCAGCTCCGCCGCACGCATGTGGTTTGGTGGTAGCAAGTAGTGGTTAAGATTGTAGATGAAACTCTAGAGGTTAACAATATCGTACGTGAGCAGCGAATGAGAATGCGTGGTAACATTAGTTCTGAAGGTTCTCAAGGCGTGGAGTGATCCTCACAAGTTTATTAGGCGGTCACATTGGTTGAGGTTTGTTATGTTAGGAGCTCATTGAAATTTATGAGATTTATGCGTTATTTACCTCATCTCTGTTTCTTTGTACCACAGTATCCTTGAGCAAGCCCCCTTTCGGAGCTTAACGATGCATGGCTAACGAGGTACGCTGGCTGTTGAGCTAAGGGCATCTGGAAGCTGCTGATTGGCTGTGTAAACGCGTTACCGCCTGTCGAGGTGAAGATCTCTGCGAGCCAAACCAAACTTCTTTCGGCTGGAACCTGTACGGAGCAAGTTCGACTGTGCCGAACCAGGCCAACCACCTGCAGTGCCCCCAGACATAGACGCCCAGGCAATCGGACCCACACCAGGGCCCAAATTTCAAGGGTATTTTACCCTTTTTGCCCTGCTCATAGGCCACTTTTTGGCAGTTACCCTTTTCAAATCAGGGTATGCAGATTTTTACCCTAGTGCAATCAGAATACGCTTAAAAGTACTCTTGTAGCTTTTCCAGTTACACTGACTGTATCAGGGTAGGGGTTCAACTACCCTTTTACCGGAACTTTTCCGTACCGCGGATTCCGCCACAGTCCGCGCCACGACGAAATGCTCCACGGTCCCACTGGACCATTTGTTGGATACACCCACTGGCGCGCCAACGTACATTCAGGGCGGATGGCACCGCACACCTACGATTGGTCCGTTGAGCGACATTGAAGCTAACGCACCCAGTTTCCGTGCGTCACGCAACATCGCGCACTGCCAACGGAGGCAAATTGCGCGCCAGGTGGGGTACGTGCTGTCGTTTCCACCACCTGGCAGTCACTGTGGCCTTGCAGCCATTGCCGTGCAGTTCCCTACCAGCGAGGGAACCTTGCTGCCTGAGGCGCCTTGGGCTTTGTGATTCCCGAGGGGTCTCTCAGGCTCTTGCCATTCTCTCGTTTCCCTCTCGTTTGTTGTTCCGAATGCCTGCCTCTGAGCCTGATCCGCCTGGTAGCACCAGGAACGGTCTCTCCGTTCTCGGTGTGTTACCTCGGCTGGCTGAGAACTATAGCGTCCCTATCTCTCAGCCTGCGCGTGAGCCATCCCCTGAATTTCTTGTCGGCACCGTTTTCCCGTGCGAGCGTTCGGCCTCGCCAAAGTCCCGGGAGCCACACCCGTCTCTCGAGCTTGTTCCCGATGGCGGCGAAGGCCCGTCGAAGCCGGCCACTGCAGCCCCGTCCACAATTAGCTCCGCGCCCGCGAAGCGACAGCGTGTGGGCGTGACATACAAGCAGCAGAGGCTCTGGGGCGCCCCTCCTCCACGACAAGAGGCATCACCGCCACGCCGTGCTGCTCCTGCTCAGCCGAAGCCTCCAACCGCTTCTGCAGAGGCTGAGTATGAGTTGGTAAAAACGACTTTCGATTCGCAATGGTCAAAGAAATTCAGTTGGCTGCGCTTAATGCGCATGACTAACGGCAGGCCGTCATTGAAATGTGCCATCTGCATCAAGCACGGGGATCCAAACGCGCACACTGCCTACGGCGTCAGAGGTGAGGGTGCCCGAGACATGCAGCTAGGGAGCATCCGCGCGCACACATCAAGCAGAGCCCACAAGCAGGCCTTGGAAAACGAGGCCAAAGCAGACGCGGAAAAGGCGAAGCAAGCCACACTAACAAGGTGGCAGAGCACTGATGCAGCTACACGGCACATCATCCGCTGCCTCCACCTCGCGCTCTTCATCTGCAAGGCTGACGCGCCAATAGCAATGTTTGTTCCTTTGTGCTGGTTTCTGGCTAAGGAAGGACTGCCGGACCTTCCACCGTCTGGAGGGTACGGCGCCTACTACACCGAGTAAGTGCGGGTTCGTGGCGCTTGTGTTTGTTCCGTGACTCAAGCTGACCAGATGCTACTGCAACTTGTGTTCGTGTACCATGTGTGTTGTCCTCGCAGCTACGGATTCAAAGAGATGCTGCGCGCAACCTCCACTTACCTTCAAGAGACTCAACGCGGCCACCTTCTGGAATCCCCATATATAGGGATTCTTCTGGATGAGAGCACCGACCGGGTGAATGGCAAGCACCTGATACTGTATGCGACATTCTTCAAAGGGGTAACTCCGGTAACGGAGTTTTTAACTCTCATTACCGTGGACCGTGCCGATGCGGCCTCGCTAACCTCCGCTGTTGTGCAGTACCTTACAGGAATCGGGGTGGATCTCCAGAGGATTTCTGGAATATCTACGGACGGGGCGAGTGTGATGACCGGCAAGAACAACGGTCTAGTCGCGAGGCTGCGACTGCGCATACCACACCTGGCTTCAACTCACTGCGTCGCTCACATGTACGCATGTTGGATTCTGAGTTTTTTCCAGTACAGGATCAGTGACGCGCAAACCGTACTAACATGCTCCAGTTGAATGCGCAGGGAGGCATTGGCAGCTAAGGATGCGGCGGAGGCAGTCCCCGAGCTCGGCATGGTGGACGACGTGGTGCGTGCCTTCTCCGAGCACATCGGCCGCAGCAGCGTGGACTACACCAAGTTTCAGAATCTCCAGCGCGTCTACTGCCAGACGAATCTGGAGGCGCAGGGCATAAACGACGTGCGCTGGCTCTCCCGTGGCGAGGCGATCCAGCGGTTCCTTGACGTTCTGCCTGCCGCCATTGTCGTGCTGAAGGACTACAAGAAGGACTTGTACGAGGTAGTCACCTCGTTCAAGTTCCACTGGCTCATCCGCTTCCTCGCGGATGTGCTCTGGGAGCTCAACCAGCTCAATCTGCACTTTCAGCAACGTCAGGTAACCAACTGACAAGCACAGTTGTACTTACACGCACGCCTACAATGCTCTTTCTGACCGCATGTCTTATGTGTGTGCAGGTGGACGTCACCCTCGTGGCGCACCTTGTACAACAGACGCGGATGCGCCTGAAGACGCGCTACTTCGACAGGTCCCCTGGTCACTTTTTTGGCAGCGGAGAGAAGATGCAGCTGCCTGACTTCATCAAGGCTCACCAGAAGATGGATAAGCGACAGATGAAAGCGGAAGGCGTGGACGCGGACGGCAACGCCGTCTCCTTCGAATTCACCCTGCACGAACGCCCCCTGCCAGGCCATGAGACAGACGGTGATGTAACCGCGTGCTTCGAGCTTTCGCTCAAGTTCATCAGCAAAGTGGACGCGGAGCTGGAGTGGCGCATGCGCGACCTCAACCTCCTCGAAGGCGCCAAGCTGTTTCGTACGGCGTCGTATGTGGCCGACGACACCCAGCGGCTGGAGTCCTTCAGGAAGTGGCTTGGCCAGCTCCACAAGCTGTACAACCACAAGCTGCCTGGTAAGCGTGTTTGTTAGATGGGGCGGGTATTAGTGATTGACTTGCGTAAACAGCTTTGCACCAGCTTGTTTCCCATCGCGCTTGTTGCTACTCATCACCCGGCCCTGTATTGTGGACTAATGCCTCCCAATCCTACCCGTATGTATGAGCGTCTGCCAATGATCATCCCCTTCCGCACTACCAGGGTTCGACTACAAGCGTGCCGGCCAGGAGCTCTGGATGTTTACCTCGACCATGTTCTCCCAGCACAACGGCGAGGAGTTTCATCAGGCGCTGGGGAACATGCTGCGCGACGAGGCGTGGCGTGCGTCGTTCCCCAACATCGTCCGGATGTGGCAGTCTGTCGCCGTGCTACCACTGAGCACGGTTGAATGTGAGCGCGGCTTCAGCAAGCAGAACCTGATCAAGACGTGGGACCGCGGCAGCCTCGGCGACACAAGCCTTGAGCACCTGATGCGGTGCTCCCTCCTGCAGTACGACATTGACTGGTATGAGGTGGTCGCCATATTCCGCGGGGAGAAGCTCAGGCGATCCACCAAAGACTTCTCCGGCATGAAGGCCAGCAGCACTAAGCAGTTTGCAGACGAGGAAGTTGCTAGTGCAGCAGATGTTGATTGACTAGTGTCTTCTGTAGGGCCCTTTATTTAACTTGGTTGGTAGTAAAGCTTGTAGGTGCAGTGCAGAACACTTTAGTGATAACTAAGTAATTGTTGTAGTAGTACAATCTTATGCTTAGGAAGGAAACAGTGTACGACATATATTATCCTGCCAAAATCAGTGTACCAAAACTTTTAGGCTGCTACAATCAGTGTACGAGAAACTTTACCCTACCAGTCAGGGTACGGAGGGGATGCCACCCTGATTTGAAAGAGTGAGCTAAAACCTATTTTGGGCCCTGACCCACACTGCTTCCTAACAACCACAATAGCTCGGTTTCGGTTCGGGATTCGCCGACTGTGTACTCTAGTGGTTTGGTGGTCCCCCGTTTCGCGCACCCCAAGGTTCAGGTTCGTCAGTGGTTTCCCCCCAGAAACTCGCTTTGGTTTGGTCCTTCAGCTCAGTAGCAGGTGTGTTTCACCACCATCAGTCAGTGCCGCTTTTCCGTTCCATTGGTCCTGTTTTTGAACTGGCAAGAATTGCTGCTCGCTCTTCCCAATCGCATTTACAGTTGCAGGGAGCAGTAGGCAGGCATCTAGACTCAGACATTCCTTCCCCTCGTCGTCCGTTCAGCTGTCGCTTGGACCTTAGAATCAGGGGATTTTAGTACTCCCGGAAATTGCCGGGACCATGGAGCGGAGACCACCTACGTTATCGCCTAGTTCGCCGTCCAAGTCGCACGGTCGTCGCAGTCGGCCGTGGTACATCCAGCTGCTCGGCGAGCATTTCCAAGGAGCGTACCTCGTCGTGGGCTTCCTCGTAGCATCAGCCGTCTTCACGATCCTGCCGGCTGGCTATCCGCGACCGTCGCCGTTAGATACGGCGTCGTCGACTGTCGGCGACAGCCATGCAATCTTCTCTGGCGTTCAGAGGTTAGCATAAAATATCGGATCCACTCTCGAGGCGTTTATCATTCGTACACACCCCTATTCCTGGCTTCCTTCTTGACCGATTCCTCTCATTAATATCTCAAAGCCTTTGTCGAGCGTTGTATTTTCAGCCGTCAATTCTCGTATTTTCCGTCGATTCCGTGACTCGTGTTTGCTATCCTCATGACGGATCGAGGTCCTTCGTGACCTAATGCATATCTCGCTGTTTACGTAGCTTCTTTTCATCGTTGCCTCACTGTTCCTCGCATCGATGCTCTGTTATGCCTTATCAGCTCGGCCGTGAGCCTCTACCATGCGAAGACGCCGGATCATCGCTTCATGGGAAAGATTCCTCTCGGCATTCGCCGCACGCCGCTGCGAATCGTCGTTACTGGTGAGAATTGCGGTCATGGGTATGGGGTAGTCGAGCTCGAATCGTTCTCGCGCTTCACGTTAGACACATAGTTCTTACGAGGTTTACAAGATTTGCTAGTCGACCTACACGTGTTCCGTGGGTATGGGTTACGGAATCTTAGTAGTAAGACGTGCTTCGCAGTATGCGCGTAGTTTGGGGAAGGTTAAGAAAAAATCGTTAGTCGAACCATGCCTGATTGGTTCAAGGGTATCGGAACCCGAGTAATAAGACATCCAGGAGCCAGAGAAATAATTGGAGATTGAGACAATTAGTTAGTGGCTTATTGCATGGGTGGATGTGAGTTCAGGATTGTTGGAAGCCCGACCGTGTTCTTCTTGGCCTCAGATTGTTGCACGTGGCAGCTTGTACCCATCATACATGGACAGAACGGAATGCTAGTGGATGTGGACGGAATGATTGTGGACGGAATGATTGTGGACGGAATGATTGTGGACGGAATGATTGTGGACGGAATGATTGTGGACGGAATGATTGTGGACAGAACTGATTGTTGAGCGCATGGGCCAACTGTATTAGTCAACCTCCTGCTTCCCCTCCGTCCCTTGCTTCTCCCTCTCCTCCCTTGCTCATCCCTTTGCACCGCATCCCACTCATCTAGCCTCATCGTATCTCCCCAGCATCACATCTCACTAGCACCGTGTCTCTCCCCAACATCTCATCTCCCCACCCCACTGTTTAGGCTCTCCCCAATGTTCATATCGCCCCAGTGTCTTCCCTCTTCACTACTCATTTCGACCACGTGATTGTGGTGGTCAAGTTTTTATCCCCCTCCCTCTCTTCCCTTCCCTCTGTCCTCTATACTCCACCCCTCTCCACCCCGCTCCTCTCCCCAATGCGTCAGGCGGGGCGGGGTTCGTGGGGTCGCATCTGGTGGACAGGCTGATGGATCGGGGCGACCACGTGATCGTGGTGGATAACTTGTTCACGGGGCGCAAGGAGAACGTGCAGCACCACTTGGGCAACCCGCGCTTTGACCTCATCCGCCACGACGTCGTTGAGGGGCTTCTGCTCGAGGTCGACCAGATCTACCACCTCGCCTGCCCCGCCTCGCCCGTTCATTATAAGCACAACCCCATTAAGACGATCAAGACCAATGTGGCGGGGACGATGAATATGCTGGGGCTGGCGAAGCGAGTGGGCGCAAGGTTCCTGCTGACGAGCACGAGCGAGGTGTATGGGGATCCGTTGGAGCACCCGCAGACTGAGGAGTACTGGGGGAACGTGAACCCCATTGGTGAGTACTAGACAGTGGATATAAGATTTAGTGGTTGTTGAGTGTCTCACGGAGGGTGTGGGTTTTTAGTTGACTCAAGAAGCGAGTGGGGGCGCGGTTCCTGCTCACGAGCACCAGCGAGGTGTATGGGGATCCGCTGGAGCACCCGCAGACGGAGGAGTATTGGGGCAACGTCAACCCCATCGGTGAGTTGTAGACCTTGAATTGTTCAAGGGCTGAATGGTTCAATTCCTCTTGCCAATGTAATTGTCAGTTCCCAGCTTGCGCGCATTTTCATCTCCATTTTCCTCTCCCCTTCCCCCTCTCCTCCAAACCCCTCTTTTCCCCCTCCTCCTTCCTCCTCCCCCACCTCCATTCCCACCTCTACTACCCTATCCCGTCTGTGCTGTACCTCCATCCATGTGCTAACTGTCGCATGCATGCAGGGGTGCGCAGCTGTTACGATGAGGGCAAGCGTGTGGCAGAGACATTGATGATGGAATACCATCGCGCGGGTGTGGATGTGCGCATTCTTACCACATCTCTCAACTCATTCCATCCACATGCTCTGCTGTGTTGTCACACCCATCGTTATATATGCATGCAGGGGTGCGCAGCTGCTATGACGAGGGAAAGCGCGTGGCGGAGACGCTGACCATGGACTACCACCGTGGGGCGGGCGTGGACGTGCGCATTGCACGCATCTTCAACACGTACGGCCCGCGCATGTGCATCGATGACGGCCGTGTTGTCAGCAACTTTGTGGCTCAGGTGGGTGGGTGGGTGGATGGATGGTCCAGTGGGTCGGTGGGGTATGGTGGGTGGGTGGGTGGGAGCACAGTGGGCCCGGCGTGGATGTGTGCATTGCGCGCATCTTCAACACGTATGGCCCGCGCATGTGCATCGATGATGGCCGCGTTGTCAGCAACTTCGTTGCCCAGGAGGGTGGATGAAGGGTTGGGTGGGTCGGTGGGTGGGTGGGTTGGTGGGAGCAGGGCTGGATGGATGCGTACCGGGCCAGGGTGGATGTGCGCATTCAATGCATCTTCAACACGTACGCCCCCTCCACACGCACCCAACCCCTCTCACCTCCCTCACTCCAGGCGCTGCGCAAGGAGGCGATGACGGTGTATGGCGATGGCAAGCAGACGCGCTCCTTCCAGTACATAGACGACCTGGTGGAGGGGCTCATGCGCCTCATGGACGGGGAGCACGTGGGGCCCTTCAACCTCGGGAACCCCGGCGAATTCACCATGCTGGAACTCGCTGAGGTGAGCTGCCTGGCCCCTGCCTGAACTTGCTGGAAAGAGCACTCTTTCCAGTACATAGACGACCATGAGGTGAGCGCACTCAGCGTCCTCCTTCCAGTACATAGACGACCTGGTGGAGGGGCTCATGCGCCTCATGGATGGGGAACACGTGGGGCCGTTTAACCTGGGCAATCCTGGAGAATTCACCATGCTTGAAGTGGCTGAAAAGAGCTCAGGAGTCCCCTCAACCACGCTCCTTCCAGTACATGGACGACCATGAGGTGAGCTGACTCACCGCGCTCCTTCCAGTACATGGACGATCGGGTGGGGGGGCTCATGCGGCTCACGTGAGCTCACCGCAGGTGAGGGTCGACGCTCTATCTATGCGAGTTGACGCTCTATCTATGTGAGTCGACGCTCTATCTATGTGAGTCGACGCTCTATCTATGTGAGTCGACGCTCTATCTATGTGAGTCGACGCTCTATCTATGTGAGTCGACGCTCTATCTATGTGAGTCGACGCTCTATCTATGTGAGTCGACGCTCTATCTATGTGAGTCGACGCTCTATCTATGTGAGTCGACGCTCTATCTATGTGAGTCGACGCTCTATCTATGTGAGTCGACGCTCTACCTATGTGAGTCGACGCTCTATCTATGTGAGTCGACGCTCTATCTATGTGAGTCGACGCCTCATGGACGGGGAGCATGTGGGGCCCTTTAACCTCGGAAATCCTGGGGAATTCACCATACTTGGCAGAGGTGAGCTCATGTTTTTTCTTGACCTGGTGGCTTTTGAGAGTTTTGTGAGAATCACCATGCTCGAACTGGCCGATGTAAATTCATCCGCAACACAGCACAGCACATCCGCAACACAGCACAGCATATCCGCCTGGCTTCGCCGCTTGCTCCCCACTCTCCTCTTTGTAACTCCCTCCTGTCCCCATCCCCTCTTCCTCCCTTCCCCACATAATCATTGTCCCCAGGTAGTGTGTGAGGTGATAGACAAGACGGCGGGCATTGCCGTTCAGGAGAATTCAGCCATCCTGCCTTGGCCCCCCGCCTCGCTCACTCCCTCTTCTCTAACCATTCTCACCCCTCTTTCTCCCACCAGGTGGTGAGGGAGGTGGTAGACAAGTCAGCCAGCATAGCCTTTCAGGAGAACACGGCGGACGATCCACACAAGCGCAAGCCGGACATCACACGCGCCAAGGAGCTGCTCGGGTGGGAGCCCAAGGTCGCCCTGCGCCAGGGCCTGCCCCTCATGGTGGAGGACTTCCGGCGCCGGCTGTTTGGAGATGTGAAGGAGAGCCGGCAGAGCATTACTGCTCAAGAGGAGGCCAAGTGAGGGGCTTCTGCTTGGTGGTGGTGGTGGGGGGTGGTGGGGGGGGGGGGACGGGAGGTCGCGCTGCGCCAGGGCCTGCCCCTCATGGTGGAGGACTTTCGGCGCCGGCTGTTTGGGGATGTCAAGGAGAGCTGGCAGAGCATTACTGCTCAGGAGGAGGCTAAATGAGGGGCGTGGGAGGTGGAATGGAAGGGGATGGGGATGGGGATGGGAAGGGTGTGGCCTGGTGTGATATGACACTTGACTTTTGCTGACATACTGTTGTAGTGATACAGGTACCTCAATGTAGCTTTATACGTACCTAGCGTACATGGCATCACCTTAGATTGGTTACGAAGTGCAGTGCCCGAGTCTGGCCCCTGAGGCCCGGCCTTCAATACTAGCTTGGAACTCCTGAAAAAACTCCAGGAAACTGGAACATTGTATGGCGTTCAGCACACAAGCACACATAAAACCTTTCTCCACTCCACATGTTGATGAAATAATGTAACCAATATCAGTTATTGCCCCCAGACCAGTAAGCAGCCTGTATATCCCTCCATCACCTTCCCTTGTAGGTTACTCTGTACTGGCTTGGCTTTTGAGTCGACAAATTAACCTAGTTTGTTTGTCCATGCACCACCTCCTGTAGCACCAGCTGCAGGTCTCTCGTGCGTATCGGCTTGGCCAGGAACCCATCCATCCCTGCATGCGCACACTTGTCCCTCTCATGCTTCAACACACTCGCTGTCAGCGCGTAAATAGCCGACCGCTGCTGCGCTTTCACACCCATCTGCTGCTGCTGCTGGGGAGCCAGGCTTGTGTCAACGTTTCCACCACACACCCCCTGTGCGTCCCTCCCTTCTTGTACTGCTTCGCCAGGATTCGCATCTCCCACCGCTCCCGCCTCAGCGGTGTGAGGGGTGGCCTGCAGCCGTCGGATGTGCGTGGTGGCTTCAAAGCCGTCCATCACTGGCATCTGGCAGTCCTGTAAGGGCAAGCACGAATGGGTCAGCAGGGGAGGGGGAAGAGTTAGGCAGGAGAAGTAACAAGTCAATGCAGCGGGGTGAGGGAGGCCCTGCAGCCGTCGGATGTGTGTGGTGCGCTCAGAGCTGTCCATCACTGGCATCTGGCAGTCCTGTGGGAGCAAGCACAGATCAGGAGGACATGAGGGGAGAGAGTGAGGCAGGAAAAATGACAAGACCATGCTGCAGTGTGAAAGTGTGCCTTGCACCCGTTGGATATGCTTGGTGGCTTCTGAGCCGTCCATTACTGGCATCTGTCAGTCCTGTAGGAGCAGCATGCATGGGTCAAGACGGGGATGTACCATGGACGAGAGGAAGTACATGGTACGAGAGGAAGACATAAGAAGCAAGGAAGCACAGAACAAGGCATGAGAAGCAAGGAAGCACAGAACAAGGCATGAGAAGCAAGGAAGCACAGAACAAGGCATGAGAAGCAAGGAAGCACAGAACAAGGCATGAGAAGAAAGGAAGCACAGAACAAGGCATGAGAAGCAAGGAAGCACCGAACAAGGCATGAGAAGCAAGGAAGCACAGAACAAGGCATGAGAAGCAAGGAAGCACAGAACAAGGCATGAGAAGCAAGGACATGCGGTAGCATGAAGATGATGTTGTAGTTGGTGGAATAGAGAATAAGAGAAAGACAAAATAGGAGACCATGGACTGACCATGAAGATGATGTGGTAGGTAGTTGGTGGATAAGAGATGGAGAGAAGCACCGAAGCAAATGAGGGAGCAAGTGGACTGAACATGAAGATGACGTGGCGGTTGGTGGACTGACCATGAAGATGACGTGGTAGTTGGTGGAGCGGCAGGCCTCCACGGCCTTGTGCCCATTCTCTGCCACGTCACACGAGACTCGCAGGTTCCTCAGCAGCTGCACCACCACCATGCGGTTCACCGCGTTGTCCTCCACCACCAGACACCGCAGCCCAGAGAAGGGGCCTCCCTCCCTGCCACTCCCACCTTCACTCCCAGCAGAAGGAGCAGCAGTTGCAGCAGCAGCACCACAGGCACCGCCAGAAACACCAGCCGAGTCCCTGGATCCTCTGCTTTTGCTCTGCGTCTGACTTGTCCTCATTACCCCCTGTCTCGCACTCAAGCCGCCTCTCCTGCACCTGAGGCGTCCCTCTCTCCCTTTCTCCGTTGCATCCCCCTCTTGCACCTCATCTCCTCCTCCACCTGCTTTTACACCATCCCCTCCACTCCCCTCCTCTTCTCCCTCCTTCCCTGGTCCCCTTGTACCCGTTGCCCTCCTGCTCTCTCTCTCACACCCACACCCCCCACCACCAGCAGAATGCGTTTCTTTCTCCTCCTGCCCCTCCTCCCACCCTTGCTCCTTCTCCTCTTCCTCCTCCTCCTGCTCCGCCTCTTGCCTCTGCTGCTCCTGCCGTTGCCGCTCCTCCTTCTGCCGCTGCTGCTGCTGCACCAGAGGGTCATCAGCAGGCATTAACGGCATCGCCACCACATCAGGCAGCGAAGCACTACCCACAACCTTCAGGTCTGCCTCCTGCCCGCTGCAAGCAGGGGGGGCAGACGTAGGAGTGAAGGGCAGGGAGAGGGAGAAGGTGGAGCCGTGGCGGGGGGAGGAGGCGACGGAGATGCAGCCCCCCATGAGCGCCGCGAGCGAGCGACAGATGGAGAGACCCAGGCCCGTGCCGCCGTGCTTGCGGCACGACGAGTCGTCCACCTGCCGGAACGGCGTGAACAGCCGCCCCAGCTGATCCTCTGGTATCCCCACACCTGTGTCCCGCACATCTATCCTCACCCATACCGCCGCCTCGCCTGCCTCTGCGGGTTGTTCTTCTTGCGCTGCTCCTCTCTCTGTGTGCATCTCTTCAGAAGCAGGATGAACGGGCACTGGCTCCTCCTTGCATCGCTGGGCGCAGTGCATGGCGTTTTGTTCACATGTAGCCAAGGGAGCTTCTCCTCCTGCCAAGGGACCTTCTCCTCCTGCCAAGGGAGCTTCTCCTCCTGCTAATGAGCATCCTCCTGCGGCAGCTGCTCTGGCCAGGTCTCCCCCGTCCTCCTGCCTTTGCATGTCCCTCTGCTTCATACCCACTTGCCCACCTTCTATCCTCTCTGCCCCACGTGTACCCACCCTCTTTGCTTCTCCTCCTCCTCCTCCTGCTGCTGCTGCTGCTGCTGCTGCTGCTGCTGCTGCTGCTGCTGCTGCTGCTGCTGCTGCTGCTGCTGCTGCTGCTGCTGCTGCTGCTGCTGCTGCTGCTGGTATCTCCCTTGTTCCTGCTTCCCTTGCTGCTGCTTTGGCGGCTTCTTCAGGATAGATCATGCGCCGCCCTACTGTTCTATCTGCCCCTCTGGCCAACCCTCCCCCCTCACTCACCCCTGTCCCACCACCCAAGCCAGTCAATACAGCACCCCCAGCCACCACAGCAGCATCGGCCCGAGCCAGCACGGCCCCGGGAGCATTCCACGAGGCTTGGCATGTGTGACGCACCCCACTCTCTTTGCCGGCTCCTTCACCTCCCCCTCCCCCACCCTGTTCTCCTTTTTGGACCTCCCGGCCTCCCCCTTCCCCCTCACGTCCCCCACGCCCTCTCCTACCCCCAGCACTCAACCCACGACCCCCGCCCCCATGGCACCCGCCCACACGTGCGCGTTTGGCAGGAGGGGCTTTACCCACCGACCCCTGCTGCACACCCATCAGCAATCCCTTGATGCCCCCTTCACCCGCCCGGCATGTCTTCTGAGTCGCCTCACAAACCACCCCTTGCTTCCCCTCACAGACCCTTTCACCTGCCTGATAAGGGCCCTCGCTCACACCCTCGGCCAGGGCGCTCAGGTGGGTGGCAGAGTGGCACGTGTGGATGGGTGCTGCTGCTGCTGCAGGGAAGGAGAGGGATGATCCAGGGAGAGGGGAGTGCAGTGGCGGGGTGTGCGGCGCTGCAAACGGTTTCGGAAGTGGCTCAGAAATCAGCCCCGGGAGCGGAGGGTGCAGTGGCAGGGTGTGCGGCGCTGCTGCTAGCACTGCTGCCTCCTCTTGTGCCTCCACTTGTGCACGCTCTGCTCGCTCTCCCTCTGCCCCCGCTGCTCCTTCAGAACAAGCAGTATCAGCGGCGGTGGCAGTGGCAAGGGGAGGAGGGCCATTGGTGATCTCAGGCTCAGCTTTGGACGGCCCAGATTCGTCGTTCAGCAGCTGCGTATCTGGTGAATGCGCTTCTACTGAATGTGCTTCTATTGAACTCGCTTCGAGTGCGTATGTGCTATTTGACTCTCCCTTCTCTGAATGAGGCTCAACCAGGCTTGCAGCAGCAGGGTTGTGAGTACCAACGAGGTTGTGAGTAGCAGCGACAGTTTGAGTAGCAGCAGAGCAGTGGGTAGCTGGAGCAGAAGGAGCAGAAGGAGCTTCGACTGGTGGCAGTGCTGAGGGCAGGTGTGGCTTGCTCTGCAGGTATACTTGCACCTCCACCTCTCCCCTGCAGGGGTCACGCAGGAAGGGGAAGAAGGGGGAAGCAGCAATGAGAGAGCCGGTTTAGGGCTCTGAAATGCTGCAGACGTCCCACTGGCCCACCACCACCACACCACACACATACCCAACCACACTCATCCACCCGCCACCCACACGCCAGCCAAACACTCACCCACCACCCACGCACCAGCTCACACTCACTCACCCACGACACACATACCCACCCACCCTATTACTCTCCCTTAACTGCACACTAAACACCCATCCACCACACACGCCACTGCGAGCACGCAGCACTGTGTGCACACACCTGTCGGTGAACTTGATGGCGTTGGAGAGCAGGTTGAGCAGGTTGAGCAGGTTGAGCAGGATTCGTGACCTTTCCTCCAACCGCGCACTCGCACTCATCTACCATACTCCCTCCAACCGCGCACTCGCACTCATCTACCATACTCCCTCCAACCGCGCACCACACCCATCCACCACACTCCACACCTGTCGGTGAACTTGATGGCGTTGGAGAGCAGGTTGAGCAGGATCTGCCTCACCCCATCCCACCACACACTCACACCCGTTCACACTCCCTCAAACCGTGCACCACAACCATCCACCACTCCACTACACACCACTGTGTGCACACACCTGTCAGTGAACTTGATGGCATTGGAAAGCAGGTTGAGGAGAATCTGCCGCACTCGGAACTGGTCTCCCAGCACACATGCTGGCACGCCCTCTTTCACACGGCTGTGCAGCTGTGAGAAAGGCAAAGAGGGAAGAGAGCGAGGGGGGTGAATAGTGGGAGAGAAGAGAAGGCGTGGAAATTGAAACACATGCAAGATGAAGCATGAGTGCTTGTGCCCTTTTGAAGGCCTGACAGTATCACCGTCTTTGTATGACTGTACTGCTGGTACCTCCAGTCCAGGGGACCGTCAAAATCAGGCTACTGTCCGCAGTACAGCACACCACATGCATGCACCGCACCACACCCACTCAAAAACCGACAGAGCTTTCACAAGCCCCTCCACCGCACTCGATCAAGCAAACAACCACAAAGGAAAAACTGACCGCACTGCACCGCTTCCCATCCTTTGGTACCCACCTTGAGCCCCTTGCCGTCAGCAGCGGTGCGAACGACAGCAATGCACTGAGACAGAGTCCTCCGTAGATCAAACGGGTTGCGGTCCAATACCAGCGCATGCGCCTCCATCTTGGTAATATCGAGCACATCGGATATGATATGAATGAGGGCCGTGCCGGAGGAGGAGATGACGTCGACGTAGGAGCGCTGCTGCGGGGTGAGGGGGGTGCGGAGGAGCAGCTCGGCGACACCGATGACGCCATTCATGGGGGTGCGCAGCTCATGGCTCATGTTCGCCAGGAACCGGTTCTTCGCCTCGCTCGCTGCCTCGGCCGCGTCTTTGGCGGCTCGGAGCTCTTCCTCCTTGCGCTTGGACTCGGTTAGATCGTGCCACACAGCTAAGAGGCATGACTCGCCGCCGATCTCTACGATCTTCACCTTCACCTGCGCGTGGGTGGAGAGCAGAACAGGTTTTCTATAATCCTTTAGAAACAGATGCGCAAGTGCATCAGGCGCACCGCTGCGTAACAAGAAGAGATGTATGAGCTCCTCACCTTCACCTGCGGGCCCCTCATACTACCTGTACAATGAGCTGCATGCACACAATAGCCACCCACCCACCTGCAGCATCATGGGGTGCCCGTCAGCAGTGAGGTGGCACCACTCAAACTCCACCACCTCGCCACTCATCATCCTTCCATGCATGCCCAGAATGGTGCATGGTGGGATGCCCTTCAACACCCATCTACCCCTTTTCTTACATCCATCCCTGTGTCACTACCTGCAGCATCATGGGGTGCCCATCAGCAGTGAGGCGGCACCACTCAAACTCCACCACCTCGCCACTCATCATGCGCCCATGCATATAGCCTCCCGTGACCGCCGCCCGTCAGGCTGGAAATCGGGGCTCATCTTGGCCACTCGGACGTTGGCCAGGGCGTCGGTGCCTCAAAGGCCCGTCATATCATACTACCTGTACGTAGAACTGCGCTCACAACAGCTGTCAACCCACCCACCTGCAGCATTATGGGGTGCCCGTCAGCAGTGAGGTGGCACCACTCAAACTCCACCACCTCGCCACTCATCATCCGCCCGTGCATGCCTAAAATCGCCTCCCGGGACCGCCGCCCATCAGGCTGGAACTCGGGGCTCATCTTGGCCACTCGGAAGTTGGCCAGGGCGTCTGCTCGGCTGCGGAAGCGCATCAACCGCACCGCCGCATCGTTGCACTCGATGAGCGCCATGCTGCTGGAGAAGACGAGGATGGGCTCCTGATGGGGGGTAGGGAGGGTGAGTGCGTGGGAATGGGGGTGGTTGGGTAGTTGGAGACAGCAGGGAGAGGGGAAGGAGGGGTGGCACATTGAGGGGAGCGCATAAGGGGTTCACGTGGAATCGTGTGGTGGTGTTGGGGAGGGCACAAACACACCATGGAGAGCTGGTAGATGGCATGGAACTTGGCGTGACTCTGGCACTCCTGACTGTTGAGTCGGCTCAAAACTCACAACATGCAAGGGATGGCAAGGCAAATTCATGGCATGGCATGGCACGGCATCGCACCATGGAGAGCTGGTAGATGGCATGGAACTTGGCATGGCCCTGGCACTCCATAAGCGTCGCCTTAATCTCCTCCACCACCCTCATCGCCTCCTCCAACGCACTCTCCTCCCCCTCCCCATCCTCCCCTTCCTCCATCTCCTCCCACCCCTCCCCCTCCTCTCCCTCTATTCCCCCACCCGCGCCCAAACCAGGCATGGGCGGGGGAGGAGTCTCGTCAGGGGGATAGGAGGGCCAGAAGTGGTCAGGATAACCGTCCGCCCGCCGCCCCACTGCCTGTGTGCGCCGCCTCCCCCTCCGCCTGCGCCGGTGCTGGTGGGGAGGCTTGAGGGGCGGGGGAGCAGGTGCTGTGGGGGCGCTGGGGCCGGCGTGGGCGCTGGGGGCGCTGGGGGGGGTGTGGGCGCTGGGGGTTGTGGGGGCGTTGGGTGCGGTGCGGGCGCTGGGGGCGCTGGGGTGATGGGCGCATGTGAGGTGCTCTGGGGGGAGCCTGGAGGAGCTAGGGTGGCTGGGGTGGCTGGGGTGGCTGGGGTGAGGGGCGGCGCTAGCAGCATTGGGAGGGGTGGCAGCAGGATTGTGAGTGGCAGGAGCAGGAGCAGAAGCGGCATGGGGCACGGCAGCAGCAGCAGCAGCAGCAGCAGCAGCAGGCGGATGGGACGGGCCAGCACCAGCAGCAGGGGCAGCAGAATCAGCGGGCGGATGCGGCGGGGGCGCATGGGGCGGGGGCGCATGGGGCGGGGACGCATGGGGAGGGGGCGCATGGGGAGGGGGCGCATGGGGAGGGGGCGCATGCGGCGGGGGCGCATGGGGAGAGGAAGGGGGGCGGGCGCCGTAGTGTTTCTCAACAGCGTCCCCCCATGAGACGGGGTCGGGGGGCTTCACCTGCGCCAGGTTGGTTGCCAGCTCCGCACACGCTGTGGCGTGCTGCAGCAGCTGCGCCTGGAGGGGTGGAGGGGAGTACAGGATGGTGGCGTTGGGTTTGTATGGACTCAAAGTGCATGAGGCAAGGTGGGGGGCTTCACCTGCGCCAGATTCGTTGCCAGCTCCGCACATGCTGTGGCGTGCTGCAGTAGCTGCCCCTGGAAGGGTGGAATTGAGTAACGAGGGAGGGACGCAGAAGGGTGCAGAGGGGTGCAGAGGGATGCAGAGGGGTGGTTTGTGTGCTGACTCACAAGGACGGAGTTCTGGGGGCTTCACCTGCGAAAGATACCTCACCATCTCTCCTCATACGCCGTCGTGTGCTGAAAGAGCTGGGGAACGGTGGGAGGAGAGAGTGGTGGAGAGAGGTGGAGGGCGGTGAAGAGAGGTGCAAGTAGGCATCTGACGGAGGAGCTGAGACAGAGTATGGGAAAGCGGTCAGCCGCAGGGAGAAACCAATCGGTGGAGAGCGGTGGGGCGTACCTCGTAGGTTTTTCTCGTGGAGATATCGTGAAAGAGACAGAGAAGCCAGGAGGCACCACGAGCACATGCACATGCACATGCACATGCACATGCACCATGTTGCTCCATCAATCCATGAGTGCATGCACATGCGTCACAGCTCGGAGCTGACCCATTCATCCCCTCCGCTGCTCTTCCCCTCCCCCTCTCCGCTCCTTCCGCCCACCTTGCGCCGTCCTCCCCCCCTCGCCCCCTCCCTTCCTCCCCCAGCACGCCCATCGCTTCTGCGGGATGCAGCAGCCCAGAAGCGGCACTATCAACGCGCCACGCGCGCATTTCGTACCATCTGAAACCACTGCTATTGCTGCTACTGCTGCTGTTGCAGTTGTCACCGGTTCCGCCCCTTGCATCTTTTACACGTGCTGCTGGTACATGTGCTCCTGCTGCTGCAGCCTGCATCAACCGCACGTCCACACACCGTGCTGCTCTGAGTGCTCCTCCTGCTCCTGCTCCTGTTGCTCCTCCTGCTCTTTCTGCTGCGGCTGCGGCTGCGGCTGAGTGTGAGAGCGCATGCTGCAAGAGCACAAAGCAGCACACATAGAGTCATGCTTTCAAGCGGCAGCGGGTACAAGAACGGTGGGTACAAGAACGCACACGCCTTGACACCCTCGCTGTCACGACTCACACCTTCACTCTCCACTCCTACCTACATTTTCTTGCCAACACTCTACTCTCCTGTTGTACTGAGGTGGCTTTTGGATTGACTCAACCGTCATACCTTCACGCTCTTAAAAATGCTATGGGGTGGGGTGACTTTTGGGTCGATTCAATTCAACTGCCATACCTTGACGTTCCCAATGACTTCTTTGACGCGCTTAAATATATATGGGGTGACTCTTGAGTCGCCTCAACCGCCATACCTTGACTTTCCTGACGTCATCCTGGTGGATCAGCTCCAGCAGCGACCTTCCTAGAACCTTCCCTTGCGCAATACTCCCGTCCTCCTCACTTTCCCTCGCCTCCCCCTGCTGAGGCAACTTGACGGTCACTGCCGGCCACCCGCCAGACTCTTGCCGCGGCTGCCGTTCGGCCGTTACTGGCGGACTCGCATCGCCGGCAACAGTGCGAAGGAGCGCGGCGCTGCGCACATGTGACGAAGATGCGGGAGTGGGGAAGGGGGACGGAGGGAGTGGGTGAAGACGGGTAGGGAAAAGGCGGAGTAGGAGGCATGTTGGGACGAGAAAGGGTTGGGAGAGGGAGGCGCGAGGACGGAATAAGCAAGAAATGCGGGTGAGGGAGCGATGGAAGCGACAAGATCGGAATAGCAGCCATAACCGAAACTTTTCACGCAGGGCCCGTCAGGCCGTTGAGGAGTACATTTTTCGCGCAGTGCGCGACAGGGGTTGCAAGATGAGTGAGTCTACTCCTATCGTCTTTCGCGTGTACCTGCATTGCACGATGCGAAAGTCTCTTGCGGGAGAAATGAGACAGGCGGGGACCGCCGCGAGCACGAGATTAAGGAGCGAAACTGCTGAAGTAGAGGATTCGGCGAGTGCGATTCGACAACATTCGGGTCGCAGATTGAGACGCGCTTCGCTCGGAACGCCGTGCTTGCTGCTGTCAGTTGCGAAACCGGCTACGGCTCCTAGCGACATAATTCGCGAAAGACGTAGTTAATGTCGTGTATACGTGGTAACGATACCACGAGAGACGTCGCCTCGACGTGCGTGCGACACGCACATTATAAAGTGACCTACCTAGTCTGTGTTGTTGCCTCGGTGAATCAGGCATGCTTCACTGATTGATTCACTCACAACACAGATGCTCATATGAAGAAGCATGACACTGCCAGCAGCACACTTTTTGTTTGCAATCAACTCCTAGAGGTTCATTCTGGTACACAACGGTGTAAAACAGTGGAGCCTAGAAACCGTTCCCAAACGTGATGAACCGTAGAAAACCGCGTTATACGAACCCTAAACGAAAATGTATGACCTTGGTAATTCATTGCTGTCCATCGTGAAGCAACTGACGTAACTGAACAGGAACCTTGAACATCACACCCGCGAAGAAACGACGAGAAGCTGACTGGTGGCGGTGGCAGGTGTTCAGACAAATCTGGTGGGTGGGTGTGGGTGCGAATGGCTTGTTCCAGGCGGATCAAACGTGTTTGTCGGGGTCCGTGAGTTTGGATGGTGGGGGGAGAAGCTTCATCATTGGCAGCCTTCCGCCAAGTGTGCTGTGCTGGCACTTGTGCTTGCCAGCATTGCTTCTCCTCCGCCTTTTTTGTTCTGCTGATGCCCCCACCCCATTGTGTTTGGAGAACAATGGGAGGACCCTCCCGGAATATCCCAGCGGAAACGGGTCTTCAAGCCTGACGACCCGTTGACGACTTGACGACATACTGCCCCGGGCAGAAAAAAAACTAAAACCCTATCGGATGGCATGCCATCAGAGGGAGGCATCAACCCTAAATCCATGCCTCCCTGTGTTAAGGGTTGATGCCTCCCCAGATGCATGCCCAAATGGGTTTTTTTTTTTTCCCACGGGCAGGCGGACTCGCTTGTCCGCTGAGATATATTCGGCGGAATATCCCAGCGGAAATGGGTCGTCAAGCCTGACGACCCGTTGACGACTTGACGGCATGCTGCCCCGGGCAGAAAAAAACAAAAACCCTGTCGGATGGCATGCCATCAGAGGGAGCCATCAACCCTAAATCTATGCCTCCCTGTGTTTAGAGTTGATGCCTCCCTGACCAGATGCATGCCCGAATGGGTTCTATTTTTTTTCCCTAGAGCAGCGAGCTCCCCCGGGCGGACTCGCTTGTCCGCTGGGATATATTCGGAGGAATATCCCTGCGGAAACAGGTCATCAAGCCTGACGACCCGTTGACGACTTGACGACATGCTGCCCCTGGCAGAAAAAAAAAAAGTAAAACCCTGTCGGATAGCATGCCATCCGAGGGAGGCATCAACCCTAAATCCATGCCTCCCTGTGTTTAGGGTTGATGCCTCCCTGACTGGATGCATGCCTGAATGGGTTTTATTTTTCTTTCCCGCGGGCAGCGAGCTCCCCCGTGCGGAGTCGCTTGTCCGCTGAGATATATTCGTCGTCAAGCGCATACGCGTAGCGCAGCGTCGCACGCCCAGGCCAGACCTGTCCGTCCTTCCCCACAGCGCTGTACAGTGTGCAATCCAAACTCGGTTTTTTCTCCCCTGGCCACTAGTGTACGAAGAAAGCTACCCAGCAGCTCAAACGACAACGAAGCCAAGTAGGAAACTTCATCTCTAGTTCTTTAATAACTGTATCCAATCAGCACTTTGCATCTGAATTGTAGAGTGTAAGGAATTTTCCTAATTCCTTACTGAGGCACGCTGTACGCGTACAATTCCAACTTTTCAGAGTTCAGGCTCGGTCCGACGACCTCGCCTTCCGGACGTCCCTCGCGTTGCCTTCGGGTTTCCCAACACCAAACCTGCACCCCAACCATCTCGCGACTCCGCGACCTCGGCCTAGCTAGCCTTGCTATATTATGCCTAGGCCTCGTTGTGTTCTCAGTACTTGTAATCACTTATACGATATTGCATTCTGCGCACTCTTCTCTCGTACAACTCATAACACTTGGTATCAGAGCTGCTTTCATAGGTTACCCACCACTTTCTGGGGTAGTTTTAGTGCAAGGGTGCAATAGACTTGGTGGGCTGCAAAGCGGTCGACTGAGAGATAGATACGATTATCTCGCTCCGACTAATAGCGTTTGCGCCTTCATCAAAGTCAGAAAAAATCGTTGTTAACCCGCTGCCCGTTAGGAGGAGCCTGAGAAACATGAATCAGGCCGAGTTTGACCGTTTCATGCAGGACTTTCGGGCGATGCAATCCAGCATGCAGACTATGTCTGGCGAGTTGGAGCGCCTGAGGGTGGAAAACGCCGAACTACGCCAGGCGCGAGGTGAAGCGCGCCAGGAGTCGCCCGTCGTGGATGAAGCAAGTAGCAGTTCGTCACTCAACGAGAACGTGTTCAACGAGCTGGATGGCTCGATTGATGCTGAAGATGAGTGGGCGACACGACAGCAACAGGCACGAGAAGCGCCAGGGCAGCAACAACAGGAACGAGCAACGCCGAGGCAACAGTCGCAGACTCTGCCACGACAGGCACCAGCGACAATTCCGGCGATGGCTTCGGTGGCGCCCTCAGTGCATGCAGCGGCAACAGTCTCAACAACTATCAAAATAAATCCGACAAACCCGCCCCCGTTCAACCCCAGCGACAAAACCGTCACTGTGTCTGCGTGGTTGTTCGACGTGGAGGTTTTCTTTAATGCTGAGCAAATTGCTGATGATGTCACTCGCATTAATTTTGCAGTGTCACTGTTACGCAGAGCTGCGTTGGAATGGTGGAAGCGGACACTTTTGACAGAGGGGACTTCGGCAGGGATATGACGTGCGAACGACGGGACCTGGACATCTGTCACGCAACGAGCAACTACAATCTTCGGAGTGGCTACGATACGCGCATAGACGGAGTGGGGCGCCGTGCTGCGAGCCAGATTCGAGCATGTATCCGCCTCGGATTCTGCTCGCATGAAGATGCGTGCCTGGAAGCAGGTGACATCGGTCCAAGACTACACAGCAACATTCTGCACTTTGGCCGACCAAGTGGACGACATGAGTGAAGCGGAGCGGCTCGACAAATACGTCGCAGGCCTCAAATACGAGGTGCAGTATGAGGTGCGACGAACGAGGCCACGCGACTTCATCGATGCCGTCCAGCTGGCCGAATCAACGGACGCGCTGATGCAGTGGGCGAGAATGAGTTCCTGGGAGGGCACTCAATTTCGTGGACTGCCTCGCCAGCCCACAATCAACGGTGTGGATGCGCCGAGACGTGCACCAAACACATGCTTCAACTGCAACCAATCAGGCCACTGGAGGAAAGACTGACCGAAGCTGAAACAGGGGAACAGGAACGACGGAGAGGGGTCGGGAAAAGAGACGAGTCAGTAGCAGTCGGGCCACCTACTGACGAGACCCCGTCGCCCGACAATCACCATCCACACCGAGTAGTGGTACTGATACGGGCTATCGACCACAATCGGACGAATGAAGTGGATGAACACTTGGATCACCCTGTGCTGGTCGCGAGGAGGGTTAACGACTACAAAATAAAACTTTTCGTTGACGGTGGGGCGAGCCACAGTCTCGTCAACCTGGCAACGGCAAAAAAAATCGGAGTTAGGCTGGACAGGTGTCTGCCCGAGATTGACGCACGACTGGTGGACGGGACACCGCTCGCGATCAAGGACGAGGTGCGACGAATTCGGATGAAGTGTGGCGAC